AACCTCAAATCGTCCCCTTCCTAGCACCCTAGAGCCCCAGCTTCTTCACTTTCTCAAGCTTCCCCTCCGTCATCATCCGGCAAGGATAACACCCCTACTCCGAACAGACGCAACTGGAAGTCGCCGGATCACCGGGGAGACTCATGATCCAGACCCTACAACATGGGTGCAAGTGACTCCAAGCTCGTCTTTAAGAAGGGCATCTTCCGGCTCTCGGAAGAACGACACATTCCAGCAGATGATCCCTATTGGACTTCGGTTAGTCTTTTGGTCTTTGTCTCTGCCAAGGCGTCTTGCTACTTGACAATCAAATCAGTTTGACAGGCGGTGCTGATGACCCGGCGCCTTTTTAGTTCTGGGAGCTTCCCGAATCCACAGAGGACATCTTCAGTCTCTTCTCGCCCGCCGACATTCGAAGGACCCGCGACAATGCACTCGAGAATCTGGAAACTCTCATATTGGCCGTGACCTCACGCCTTTTCATACTCCGACACCATCCTTCCTTTCCCGACCCTGAACTGGCCCCGGCAAGAGACGCCCTCAACTGCGTCCGCATGCTGACCCGCATCCTCCCCTTCCTATACGAGGCCGAGGTCGAGGCCGACCAACTGCAGTCATGGGAAGAGAGATTCTTCTGGGGCGCCCGCAAGAAGCGCACCCGCAAAGCCTCCATTTCATCCGAGGTCCTCTTTGACGGCGTCGAAGAAGAAGGCCAGCAGACGCAGCAGCAGCAGCAGCACAAGAGGAAAGAGGAGGGAGAATTCGAGGACGCCAGGCCTCTGGGCGAGGAACTGGTCGACACGCTGGTCGACTTGCTCTTCTTCTCGGACCTGACCGTGCCCCTGCAGCCGCACGACAAGCCCAAGGTTTCGTACGCCATTTGGAAGAGCGGCGTGGGCTGCAACACCGCCCTCCCCACGACCAAGGAGCACGAGAACAACCGCTGCGAAATCCTGCGTTTGCTCCTCACCCTGGCGGGCCAGAGCATGTACATGTCTTCCGCCGTGCTTCCCCAGCGCGGCGTGAAGGCACTGACCCACCTCTGCTCGTGTCCGGACAAACAGGTCGTCCTGTCGGTGCTGTGCTCGCTCCTCAACACGGTATACCAAGCGCCCCAAAGAGAATCACTTGTTTGCTCTGTTTGTTGTTCGTTCCATGGAAGCTAACTGTCGCAGACCGTCCGGTACAGCCCGACCTCCTGGAGGGTCCCTTACAACACGTTAGTCTTCAAGGATGAGAAACAGATCTTGGTGACTTATGCCTTCCAGCTACTTCTCGTCCTCATCCTATATCCCGTCCCGGACCAGAACGGAGTCGGGGCGCCAAAGAACTACTATCGCCACTTTCTCGGGAGGCTTCATCGGCCCCAAGACTTTCAGTTCATCGTCGACGGCATGACCCGGATACTGCACCAGCCTCTTCAAGAGAAGACGTCCTATCTCCCCACAACGCAGTCCTCGACCAAGTTTGCGCCCGAGATGATCATGCTCTTCTGGGAAATGACCCAGTGCAACAAGAGGTTTCGGTCTTTCATCGTGGATACGGAGCGGGCACTCGACTTTCTCGTTCTAGCCCTCTTCTACGCTCTCGAGTACAAGACGGACGCCTCGAAGCAAGGGGTGGTCCGCATGTGCGCCTTTCTTTTGCAGACTCTGAGCGTCGAGAAGAATTTTGGCCTGAATCTGAACAAGCCTTTTATTTCCCAGAACACCCTCCCCCTCGCGATCCGTCTCCCCCACTTCAGAGGGTCTTATGCCGACTTTCTCATTCACGTATGGACAGTCTATACAACTTAAAAGTCCCCCTTTACTTCGTCTGCGCATTGCTGACGCGGCTCATACACAGTCCATCTATAACCTCATATCGACCAGCCAGGGGAAGCTTGCGGCCATATACCCTGCACTCCTAGCTGTCATCAGTAACATCGCTCCCTACCTCGAAGGACTGAGTCAACTCACGGCGGCCAAGTTGATGCAGCTCTTCACGTCCATGTCATCGCCTTCGTTTCTGCTCGCGAATGAGACCAATCACGTCCTACTAAAGTCGCTGCTCGAATCCATCAACTCTATCATTGAGCACAAGCACAGACGTGAGTAGCTCCCTCTTCAAAGTTGGAAAGCTTTGGCATCCTGGACAAGACGCATCGCTTATTTCCCTTGGCTCTAACATTCCTTCGTAGAAAACCCGGAGCTTATATATGCCGTCGTTCGCAACAAGAAGAGGATTGAGGCCCTTCGGTCCTTTACTCTTGAATCGGGCCAAGAAGAAGTTGAACGACGGAACCGCCGACGGAAAGAAGCGGCGGCGAACGGCGAAAATGCAGACCCGGACTCGGTGCGGAGTTCGGTAGATAGTCTCCGCAGTCCCACCACGTCGTACTCACATCATCATGCTTCGTCGGGACATGAGTCGGAACAACAAGACGACACCTTTGCCATTGGGGACGACGAAGATGACAGCGACGACGACGACCACCACCACCACCAGCCCACTCCAGCCCAGTCAAGCACCAGCGAGACCATGTCCAGGGCGTCATCGCGAGGGTCCCACGCCGAAGACGCCCTCCCGACGCAAGTGCCCGGGATGTCCGAGAAGGCGCGAGGCAAGATGCCGGCCGGGGTCGGCACGTTCTCGAGGCAAAACAGCACGACCAGCCTCGGGGGCTATGCGGGCAGCACCAGCCAGTCGCAGAGCGGGGCGTTCGAGCCGACGCCGCAGTGGATCGAGAGCTGGCTGCCGGAGCTGCCGCTTCACACCATCCTCACCGTGATGCAGCAGGTCGCCGTGCTGCTGCCGCGGGAGCAGGCGGTGACGAACGACCCCGCCTCGGCCGAGACGCTCCGCAAGATCCGGGAGATCCAGCTGGTGGGCGTGGAGCCGGCGCCGATCCGGGTGCATTCGTTCGAGTGGTCCCCGCTGGCGCTGGGGTGGTACGAGTCGCTCGTGTGGAGCTTCGTGTTTAGCAGCGAGATCCAGGTGGCCAAGGGGACGGTCGGGGTGTGGAACGGGACGGCCATCAAGCTGTTCCGCGTGCAGGAGACGGCGCCGCAGGGGCCTTCGCTTACGTCGCCGCGCGGAGCGGTCGATGCGGTGGGGAGCAATATCGTGTCGCGGATAGGAGCCATGAACATCCGCGGGGCCGCACAGGGTGCGCAGAGTGCGGGCGGCGGCAGCAGCAGCAGCAGTAGCGCCGCACCGTTGAGCCCGCCGCCGAGAACTGAGTGGAATTGATTGGGAGGGGGCATCGGCGTTCAGTCTCAGGAAAAAAAAGAAAAAAAAGGACTCTGGGATCGGTTGATATTTAGGACGAGGGGAATAGCTGGCAGGTAAGAGAGGTAGTGGCGTCTTTTTATCTCTGGGAAGAAGCAATATACGGAGATCCAGAGCTCGTGGGACAGCGGCGTTTCAATGTCGGACCGCACAGCAACCTCGGGCGTCGCCCCTTTCACATATCGGAACGCATCGGAGCGGCTTGGCCGGTGGACGACCGGATCCGAACTGTTGTCTTCATCCGGCTTTTGTGCCCTCATAGGAACGGATCCTTCTGGTGTGAAGAGGGAGGGGCTAATTTTGGGCCTTTAGGGAGAAGGGAGCAAGCACCCCGTCGCGAGCTGCGACTTGACGCGAGATCAGGACTGACCGCGGGAGGTTAAAAGGTCCGCAGACTCAACTCCAACCTTATCATCACCATCTCAGAACCCAGGGACAGCAAGGGTAACCAGGGAAACATGCGGTCCTCGCCTGGTCGAGCCAAAGGCCTCCAAATTGGCGTGACGGTCTGCTGTCTTGTTGCATTTGTTCTTTTCGGTTACGAGCATGCGTCTTCGGGCCTATCCTGCAGAATGATCACTGCCTCGAGCTATTCAACCATCCGTCCGACTCTGAGACGGGCATCATCGTGTCTGGGTCGGCGGAGGAGAAGCAGGGCCCCCTGACGGCTCGAGAAATCTTAATTGCTTTGCGCAGACTGCCGTTATGGTGAGGGCCTTGCGTGCTTTGTTCGCCGGGTGGAAGATACAAGCTTGACCCTAGCTAGGATAAAGCAGCGTTAGTTGTTCTTCCATATATGACGTTTTATTTTCCCCTCGCCAACCTCAATGGCCAAGTTCCCCTGACCCCTGAATCAACCCGCGAGTCCAAGATACTGGCATCCCGTGATAAAAACAGCTTCACAACCCATGACCAATGAATTCTAACAAAACAACATGCTCATAATTCATTACTTTTGCTTACTCGTAGTATGAGTATATGAGTAGATATGCTTGGCAATCCCTTAAGCCAAATAACCTGTCCGACCATACCTGTTTGACCTCCATGTCCGAACGCCAAGACACCACCACCGCCATGATGTGAAGAGAATCTTAGAACCAACCGAGACCTATTCCTCATCGCTACTATCGATTAAGAATCCTCCCAGTTTGCGCGGCCTCGCCCGCGAAGCCGGTGCCCGAACAACCTCTTCCTCGTCTTCCTCGTCTCCCTCGTCTCCCTCGTCTTCCACGTCCTCCCCGTCGATCTGCATAGGAACAACACCACCGACCTCCTTCCCCAGCTCTTCCACCCCCTCCGTCTCTGGACCCGGCGACACTCTCCTCCGTTTCCTGGCACTCCGTCCCGAACTGGACGACAAAGCCGTGTCCGCCGTCCCATCCGACGCCACGTTCTGGTCGCTATCACCAGCGCCATCGGCCCCAAGACTAGCCCTGCTGGACCCAGTCGCGTGCGCATCAACCACAAGGTCGTCATCGTCCTCCCCGATGGCCATGAGCTGGGGCCGCTTCCTCTTCCTGGAGGGAGGCGCCTGCGACGACACGACCACGCCGGACGCGGCATCGCTCGACGCATTCTTGGCCATGCGCCGCCTTAGCTCCTCTTCCCGAGCGAAGAACTCGCGGTCGCGCTCCTCGTCCGTCTCGTCGTCGCTCGCCGTCACGTACAGCTGGCTCTTGATCTTGCGGGCCTTTTCGCGCTCGCGCTCCCGCCTCTTCCTGGCCTTCTCCTCGAGCTCCGAGTCGTGCGCGTCGTCGTTGTTGTTGTTGTCGTCGCCGTTGTCCTCCCCCCTCCGTCGGCGCCGCCTAAGCTTGGGCTTTTTCTTGCCTTTGTCCGCGTCGGCGACTTTGCGCTCCGTGGGTCCGCCCGCGGGGAAGAGGAATTCGTTGCCAATGTCGTCGTCTTCGTCGTCCGCATCGTCGTCGTCGTCGTCGTCGTCGTCGTACTCGGCTTTTCGGCGGGGCGCTGTTTTCCGACGGAGCTGGTGTTCGGCTAGGACTCCTTCTTCGAAGACGGGTGGGCTGAACTCGGCCTTGCCGATCAAGCCGAGTGTCTCTTTCATGTCGTCTGCTGTGACATCGGGGGGGAGTACCCATAATGTTTCCGGCGTTTCTTCCACGTTGGGAGTGAGCCTCTGCATGCCGACGAGCCTCATCAAGAGGCGCAGATGAGGGTTCTTGAACATGGCCGTTCGGCGAGCGTCATTGTCGGGACGAACAGCTGGAAAAAGCCTTCGGTCAGTGGATGGTTTCTTGATCCTCTTAGAATATAGATAGACGAGCTTCAAACTTACTAAACGGAAGAAGACCAGCGGCGTTGCTCGTAGAGGCGGTCTCCTCAGCTGAAGGTCCAGTCCCATCCGCTGCGACCTCCATCTCAACCGAAGGAAGAACTTGGTCTGCAATGGCGGAGGCCCGGCGATCCTGCTCCGCATCGGCCAAGGTCTTCTTTACCCATGCGATATGATCTGACTGGTTCTTGTCGAGCAGCACGCCCACGGCAATAGCGATCTGCTGTTCCCGATCTTCGGTGTATTTGAATTCGAGCTCTGTAGCCGGTCGGGGCTTCGTCGCGGAGACAGTCTGTTTCTCGTGCCCATACTCGAGATAGAACGCGGTACCGTTCGTCTTGGAGAAGAGCATCTCAATCAGAAGAGCCGGCCGCTCCTGGATCTTTCGAATGCATTTTCTAATCATCTGCTTCGCCAGTTCCTCCCACTCCTTGTACATTTTCGACCCCTTGTCGAGTGGTTCGGGGCCCTTGATCATGCCGTGAAACAGGTGGATAATGTCGACGCGGAAGAGCATAACGCTCATCTCCTGCTTGAATGCCAATCGATAAAAGTAGCGATGCGCCCTCTTTAGTTGGCCGTCATTCAGATCCTTGTAGTATTTCGTAAACGCGACGAAGGCGTCGACGACGCCCTGGGGGGTGAACCGCATGCTGAAGCGCTGGAAATCGAATTTGCGTTCCTTTGACGTCTGCTCCGCCCGGGATTCGTCGTTGGCCGACTCATCGTCATCCTCGCCGTCGAGCGCATCGTTGCCTCCGTCTCCTGCATCGGGCGCAGTGGCCTTGGCCACTTTCTTCTTCCGGCGCGTCCTCCTCCGCGAGCGAACCTGCAAGTCGACGTTCTGCTTCGAGTACCCTTCCAAGATGCGCACGAAGTGGTGCGTCAGCTCGGTCGCCGCGTCGAGGTAGTCAAACCCCTGGCCCTTGTACTGCCTCACCACGTTGGCCACCAGATCGTGCGTCGCGTCTTCGTAGAAGAGCCGGCTGAGCATGTTCTCGGCGATCTCTTGGTCCTCCTCGTTGGGCGACTCCGACATCTCTTGTACCGTCAGTAGAATCTGGGTAAAGCAACGCATCGAAGCTGTTAGTTCCGGCCAATCTTTATGTTCCCACGCCTGCGTCATGGTTCGGTTGAGGGTGATGAACATGGACTGGTTCAGAACGCCAGCGACGAGGTTGAAGCTGCTCACGTCGTCAGACGAGTTTCGGGGCTTCGCGGCCTGCTTTGCGCTCCTCCGGACCCTCTCCGCTTCCAGAAACCAGGCGACGAGATACATGAACTGCCTCTTGTGATGAGAAAGGACATGCGAGGCCTCCCGGTCGATGGATTTCCTTACGTGTTCGAAGAGGGGATTGAAGCCCGCGTCCAGAAAATCCTCGACGAAGGACCTCAACTGCGTGTTGGCCCTGTGGTTCAGCTTGGGCTCTCGGCCGAGGTCCTTGGGCTCCATCTCATCCTTCTTCCTGGGTCGCCGGGGCGGCCGGAATGTCTTGGAGTCGTCAATCTTCTGCTGTCTGGTGGCGAGGTCCACAAGGGCATCCTGACCCGATATGGAAGACATCTTTCCGCCCTCGCGCTGCATCCAGACCATGGTCCCGAAACGGTTGTGGCGAGTCGGGCCTTTGCGGTTGTAGGCCTTCAGCATGGCTGCTTCTTTGCCCATCATGGAGGATAGCTCCTTGGCCTTGCTTTTGTTGAGCTGCTGCTCGCTCATGAACATCTGCTCCATGTCGACTCTCTTGACTAGATGGTATATAATCTCCATGGCAATAACGTCCTCTGTTCGAAAATCCTCGCCCATGTTGGAGGCGAGGGTTAGAAGCACCATGAAGATGTCCTGGTACGAAAAGGCGTCAATGGTGGCCGAACGCGAGATTTGTGATTCGTCGCCATCGTATTTGATGTTGGCCGGGGGTTCGAGCATGACAACGTTCCGCAGAAAGAAAAGCATCAGCTTGATGATGCCTTGGTCGCGCTGACTGCGGTCGCCAATGGGTACTGCCATGGCGGGGAGAGCGGCGCGGACGGCGGTATGCAGGATGCGGGCGCCGTCAAAGTTGATTATAGCCCGCTTATAAGCAACCTGGGCGAGCTCCAACATCGGAATATGGCGGTGATGGTTGACTGTCATCTTCTCCGGGTCTCGATCCAAGGGCCAGGTGAGCGGTACCATGATCTCCAAGCAGGCAAGGGCCATGCGAGCTCTGAACTTGTTCTCGGTGGCATTTTCGGGCCACATGGCCAAAATGTGCAGCAGATCACCTTCCACAAGGTTGGCCTCGGCAATGCACCGAGCCACATCCATGCGGTTGGTTTTCTCGTCGTAGAATCGGATCCATTTCTTCAGGTCTCGGAGCACGTCGAGCGCATCGTCTCCCAGCTTGTATCGTCCGTCGTCATCTGCACTGAAACCACCGAGCTAACGATCTTCAAGTCAGCTAGATCAAAGGAGAGCGAAGGCAGTGGATGGAGTAGTACTCACCGCAGAGACGAGGCTGTTGATATGAGCCCGAACTTCGGGGTGCACGATGTCGTTGGTCCCGTCCGTCGTCTCCATCATAACCGAAAAGACAGGGCGCCAACAAGAGACAGACTTCTCGGGTTGAAAAACAATTGCCGCAGGTTTCCTCAGCACCTCACGGATGTAATTTACCTTGGCGGCGGGATTAGGTCATTGGAGGGCACTTGTATGAAGACATTCATTCTCTCACCACTGGAGAGAAACTCGACTGAACGCGTCGCGTCATGTGGACGCGCCTGTGCAATTACCCGGGAAAGCTTCGGAAGTGGTACAGTCCAGTCCAGTACATGCACGTACCTAAGTACTTGTACGAAGTTACCTTATGGAAAGCTGCTTAGTCAGGTCGCTCTGCACAACGAAGGCCGAGGTTAGCCGCAGGGTACGTTGGTGACCTCATCCTCATCCTTCCAACCTCCTCGGCTCTCGTGTGTTTTCTGACGTTCGTGGTAAATCTTCTTTCTGCTCCAACGGCGATTTAAGTGCTGAAATACTCTTTAATCGCTCTACTCTCCGTTTAGAAGCGTTGCTAGCTGATAAGGACTACTTCGAAACGGCCCAATTGCGGCTTCAACTCTCAAGAGCCCAACCACGCCCCTTATCCCATACGAAACCAGTTCTTCCAGTTGCGAGATAGTATGTCGGCCGCCATGACTCGGCTGCGACCGGCCGGTCAACTGAGCCGTCAGCTTCGAACCTTCAGCTCCTCGTCGAGACTCACCGCCGCCGCCAATGTGCAGAGGCTGGGCGTCGTGGGCGCTGGTCAGATGGTGAGTGGTTTGACATGTGATCGAGGGGAGATGATGGAAGGTCAAATGTGGAAGGGTGTCGGAGGGTCGCCCGCAATATGGTTGAGCTGTGCTGAGGAGCTATGATCCTACGAACCCATTCTATTACACGACTTGAAGCTCTTATATTCCTTAGGAGGGATATGATACCGTTCTCTCCAATACCCTTCCGACCCTCCCGACCCTCCCGACCTACGGTGTCCTTCCATACAGCCACTTTGCAGTCCAGATAATGTATAATCGACTAGAGCCAAGGCTAATGAATGAGGCTGCAGGGACTCGGAATTGCACTAGTTGCTGCCCAAAAGGCCCAAGTGCCAGTCACCCTGGTTGACAACTCGGAAGCATCCCTGAAGAAGGGAATAGCATTTGCAGGTTCGTGTCCAATCCGTTGCGATAGAGCCAGAGGGGACCACCACAAAGGTACTGACGGGCCGCGTCTGCAGAGAAGCTCCTCGCGAAGGATGTCTCCAAGTCCAGGATAACACAAGAGCAAGCGGACCAGGCCCGCGCGCTCCTCACGCCCGAGACGAGCCTAGAGAAGCTCTCCGACGTCGACTTCGTCATCGAGGCCGTGCCCGAGATCGCCCACCTCAAATTCGACATCTTCTCCAAGCTGGCCCAGATCTGCCCCAAGCACGCCATCCTGGCCACCAACACATCCTCCATCTCCATCACCCGCATCGCGGCCGCCACCACGAAGGACCCGACCGACACGTCGGCGAGCTCGCGCGTGGTCTCGACGCACTTCATGAACCCCGTACCCGTGCAGAAGGGCGTGGAAATCATCAGCGGCTTGCAGACCAGCCAGGACACCCTGGACAAAGCCGTCGAGTTCTGCAAGGCCATGGGCAAGATCCCCTCCGTCTCGGCTGACTCGCCGGGCTTCCTGGCGAACCGCATCCTCATGCCCTACATCAACGAAGCCGTCATCTGCCTCGAGACGGGAGTTGGCGACCGGGACTCCATCGACGCCATCATGAAGAACGGCACCAACGTGCCCATGGGTCCGCTGCAACTAGCTGACTTTATCGGCCTGGACACCTGCTTGGCCATCATGAAAGTCCTCCACGGGGAGACGGGCGACTCCAAATACAGGCCCAGCGTGCTGCTGGGGAAGATGGTGGACGCCGGGTGGCTAGGAAAGAAGAGCGGAAAGGGCTTCTATGACTATTAGCACCCACCAAGTACATCAGGAGTACTGTGGTGTCGGTATGCCGCAAGTGAGAAGCAGGGGGGGGGGACAGCTTGGGCAACGCGAGCCTGCTGAAACTGCTGAACAACGCGTGCGAGGGTTCAATAACCCACCACGGGGCCACGCAACGAAAGTCGGGTGCGATAGGGTATGCGAGGATGGGCTATCAGCCCTCGAAGGGCATCTACCGTACGAAATACCATGTAGTTCAGGCAAACTGGAATAGAATAATGATTGTCGACTAGACGAAGGGGTTTTTCTTTTAAACCCCCCCCCCCCCCCCCCCATGATGATGTCCTAGGATATCAGGGGCTAAGGATCGATCCAGCGCAGCTGGCGATATCGAGGCAAGGGGTGGCTCGGCCCGAAAAGCAAGAGATTGGGGCGGCAACAATGGTTACTATCTGTCGGCACTTGCGAAGATATCTCGCACGGGAAGGGGGGGACGGGCCAGAGCAGAGAGGCAAGGCAAGCGCAGAAGTTCGAGAAGGCCTGCATATTGAGCGGAAGGGATTGCGACGCCCAGAGCTGACTTGCAGTTCGAATGATCGCCCATTCAGGTTTCGGGACGTATTTTCTCCTCCGTTTGGAAGGACCGGAGTCAGCCCTCCGTTTAACCGGGACGAAGACGGGCACCGACAGCAGTGGGTGGGTCCAGTCGAACAGATCTCCCACCCCGTTCTGCTTGTGGGTGAGTAGGGTTTTCGGTTTTCGTAGCGATCAGCCGTCCCTCGCTCGTTTTCTTTATTTTTCGTTTTCTTTCCCAGCAGCATCGTCGTCACGTAAAAAGCCGAGGGCGTCATCGTAGACGTCACACGGGAATGCAGGTGGTACAGAATGAGAAAGGCTCTCCTTTTCCGTGCGAGCTTCTCAGCCGGTAGCAAGACACGCAAACCAAGTAAGAGGCGTAACAGGACTGCAATGAAGGAGAGATAGGTCTCTCCGTCTGGTTTCTTTTCTCGACTCGGAATAAAGAGATCTCGATTTGAAGGTTGTAGCAACGAGAACTGCTAGAACAGAGAGCACGAAGGGTAATTTTGGACCGCCCACTGCCTTCTCAGCGCGGTAAATTTAGTCAACGGGACAATCGGGCGGTAAAAATAGCGCTTCGGCACACCGGATTAGGGTCCGGACTGCATTTCCCGGGGGGGGGGGGAGAACGAGACGCGGGAAGACGATTGAGGCAGAGTACCTAGGCAGGATTTCCGCTGAAGGCCGTACCGTGCGGTAGGTGTAGGCCGTGGCGGTCTGATATGAGCGACCGAGCCGCCAGACATTCGACTCGGAAAATCGCAAGCCTAGCGAAACGGGTTACTGCAGGTCGCAACTCCGGTTGGTAAAACTGGCCGTCTAAGGGGGGAGAACGAAGACAATCGGCTTCTAATGGGGAAAGGTGGTCCGTCGTCCGACCTCCGACTCGAGGCTGGTGGTGGGGCGAAGTCGGCATCTTCGTACTCCGTAGGGCGGAGATGGACAGGAATCTGACGCAGTACGTTGTAAGGAAGTGTCCCAACTTCTCATCCTGATGCAACTTCCTTCAGACCAGTTGTGTGCAGCTGTTTCCCCCCCCCCCCTCTCGCCTTCTAGATTCTCGTCCATCGGTGTTTTCGCAAGGACTACTTGATCGGTACGAAGTACTACTTCGTAGCCAGTTGCTGAGAGGAGGACGGGTAGCAACCCCAAAAGAAGTTAGCCCTGGGACCGATCGTGTGGTTACGAGACGAGGCGCAAGGGACGGGATCTGGGTTCTTGGAACAAAGGGACGGAATCCGGGCTGAGAGGGGAAGATCGTCGTCCAGTCGGTGGTTTGAGGACTAAGATGCGGTGACGCTGGGGATACCGTCGTTTTAAAGGAGACCCATGGAACGAACCATGGAACGCCGTTGCACTCATGCAAGTTGCGAACAACGGCCCTCTCGAATGGCCGCTATTCCAAGAGGGGTTTTTTGTCGAGCCAGTCCTCGCACTTGTAAGTTCAACGTTCAGAATACGACTTTCAGGTCAAAGTCAACCTGCATCTAAGCCTTGAGATAGTGTTCTCCATCAACCACGAGTCTCGAAAAGGGGTAAGGTACCTAATTCGGTATCGGCAAGAGATACGTTAACCTGGAACTTAAGTGTCTCGTAACATCTTAAGATAGGTAGTATATGTACCCAGCAACCACTCAGTATTATGAGTATTATACCACGCCAATTGCTGAGCTAGAGACTTGGCTTTTGCGACCGAATTCTCGGGACAACCGGTTGGCTGGCGATCTATCGAAGAATCGGAGAAGGCTGAATAGAACTCTTACCTAAAGTATTACAAGCTCGGGAACCAAGGTATCCCTTACACCTGCTTGTACATAACGACGAATACGCATGGTATGTAATTACCTACTCAACCCATCATTTTGATCTTGATGCTTGGTCGAGTCGCAAGGGGAAAAGAAAAGAGAAAAGAGAAGGACGAACTGCACACAGAAGGGTGCAGAACCGCGACGACCGCGACGACCGCGACGACCGCGACGACCGCATCGACGGGCGCCTGCTACAACGTGCAACGTGCTTCGCAGAATCGTAGATCGTGGGTGTTCGGATGCATCAAATTGTCTTCCGAAGAAAATGTCACATACCTATTCGTACGCTCGGCAGTCATGAAGTGATCTGCGCCGTCTTGGCTTCTCGTTGCGGTTAAATACGTCTCGTATCGCACAATTGCCTGGCAGGGGTCCGATGCAAGTGCGTCCTCCTTGCCCTTTTATTGATTCATGCTGGAGCTTTTTATTTTTATTTGTTAAGAAAGAAATTGGAAAGGACAACCGATGAAAAAAGCGGAGGGAGGGGTCGAACATTCAGAAGTACATATTCGATCCGTCGAACTTAAGCCGCCATCAGAAGTACTTTCAAATTCGCCTTACGTACGTCGAATATAAAGTACCTCAGCTAACGCTCTAACCATGACTTCGTGGCTGCTCCTTTTTGTCCGGTCCTTTGTAACTTGCCTTATCTTTTTCTCACCCCGCCTCCTGAAACACCCCACCTTCCCAAGGACGATTCTTTGGCTTCGTACGCTCTGGAGTCCCCAAATTCAACAAGTTCGATGTCTTCCCCCTTCTGGTCATAATAACTGTACAGACTGGGGGGAAAAAAAGGTCTTGGCGCCGTCCCCCTTGCATAGCTCACCATTTGCGTCTCACTCAAGCTTGCAGGATTTCTTCGATCTCGTCTATTCAAAATCATCAGACCGCGTCGTCCACTGTGTGTCTGTCTATCAACCGGAACTCCCACGACGATGTTGTCGGCCATGTTGCCGTTTCGATCAGCCCGAGCCCTGTGCTTGATAGTCGATGGGTTCCTGTGACGATCCGCTCGTTATCTGAAAGAGGAGTGGAACAGCTCGGAAATCACATCACCAAGGTTTACCCTAGGATTAACCTCGAATTAGCCTTCTTTGCTTGAATTCAATGGTACGAGTTGTGCAGCCAAGCATTCTCCTTACCAGGGCTGACCAATATGTAAGTACTCCGTAATTATGTACGCAGCAAACCAGCCGCTCTGACGCAAATTGAATCCTCTGGCCTTGGCATCTGACATCAACCTTGAGCTAAACCGGTCCCGGGGATCTTAGCTGAATCCTGGAACTTAGCACCCAGGCACATACAACGTACAGGTTTAGGTGTCACCGCACCGAACCGACGGGACCAAACGTGGCGGGACATGTCGCTCTGTTGTCCTTAATTTTCACGGCGAAGCTCAGCACATACGTTCGAAGACGACAAGGTGTGTCACCGTCGCCAACTGCCTAAGGTACATAAGGTATGCCCCTCCATGAACCAATAACCACGTGGTTTCCACTTCCGGTATCTTGGGATTTGTATCACCTTGGCCTCCAGTAATCTTATCGTCAAACGCCCTCGAGCTGCTTGAATGATCTCATCTACCATTCACTGTCACTCTCAATTTTTTCCCCTTTCATTCTGGTAGGTACGTCTACATCTGCCGTCGCAAGCATTTGACCGGCGGTCTTGACAATGCGATAAGATTGGTATTGTGTGACACCCTGACCAATCCGTCAAAGTCCTCAAACGGGACGCATCGATGGTTCGGAACTGGGGTCACACTGCCCAGACTAATCCTCACTTGTCTCGGGCTCGGTTGAAAGCTTGTCCTTCTCATCTTCGTCATCGTCAAGCTGGAACACTCGGTGCACCCATTGTCGAAGACACGGTTCCTTGCTGCTTCCCTGCGAGTTTGATCTGTCTGTATGGTCTCTAACAGCCGTGGAACTGCGAATATTGTTGCCCGGTGGCGTTATTGGTGGCACCTCGTCATCTCAGAAGCAGCCCAGGCCAAACGACCAAAGGACTAACCTCCGAGGCTGGCACGGTCTCTGGCAGCCCCTGTACGCCAAAGACCAAACCAACACGGAAAATCAATCCGTATGGAATACACGGTGACGCAAGAAGGGGAGGAAAAGGGGGGCGGCGGGAAAAAAGAAACCCCCCCCCCAAGGTGTCGGATCGAAATCATAACGGCCAAGGCCTTTTTATTTTCATCTTACTCATGTCACTGAGCATGACTTCGTAGGTCCGTCGTCAAAAGCTACATACACGCGGCGCGTCCTGGAGACTCCTGTATCTGTAGGAAATGAAGGACCTCAACCCCCGCCTCGATCCGTCAATCGGGCATACAACGTACAGTCAAACGCCATCCAATCGCATTTGAGCCGGCACCCTCTTTAGGCGAGGGTCTCGTTACGTTCCGCCCTCCCTTCCTGCCACCTGGCTTACATACATATGGATGGAGGGCTTGCTTCCTATTCCCTTTACCTATCGATGGTGGGGACGGAATTCGAAGGGGGCTACAACGTACGCTCTGCCGCCGTGAAAATGTGCCTTTTCGAGTTAGGACTCTTTATTACCCGCTTTGTCGTGCACCCCGCTAACCCGCACCCCTCGACCTGGATGAAACCGAGGAGGTGACCCAGCCCCATACGCTGCCTGCTGCCCACGGCCGAGAAGAGCACGGGCTTTACGGCGCGCCACGATCATGCGCCCGATCTCAGAAATGATCTACATACAGCATTCCCTGTCCAGAAGTCAACTCTCATTCTGCTTTGCTTCACTGTCAGGCAGGTACGAAGTAATTATTACTTTTTATGGAAGCACTTCTACGATGTACTGTTGCACCGAAGCAGGAACACGCCCATCAGCCTCCGGCAGCTTCGGGATAATTTCCCACGGGATCCGGCGAAGCGTTGAAATACAAAATGCAGATGATGCGGGCGCTGAGGACTGGCTCTCGCATTCTGTAGAGAGAAGAGAGCTTTTTCTCGATTGCGGTACATACATCACTCACACCAGACTCGGGCACGTCGATGGCATTTCGAGAGGTCGTAGATGACGATGTGTCTTCTCCCTCATACGGCTCGCTCTTCAAAGAAAATTCATGAATCACCCATACAGAGTGTTCGTCAATCAATCATGCAACAAATGTCGAACGACAGGACAACTACAGTCTAGTGTAGTCCAACCCCTGACCATGTAGTTCCCCGGCATCTTTCGAGAAGCCTTGGTGATCAGGTCAATTCTCACCATCCCTGTCACCGCCACGCCCTGAATAAATCTGGCCCTGCCGTGGGCCAGCCACAATTTTTTTCTCTTTTTCTTTTTATTGTTTTCTTTTCTTTTCCTTTTCCTTTTCCTTCTTTTTTTTTTCGGCTCCATGGTACCGTGGTTCCCTTCTGGGGATGTTGTCTCGCTTCTTCTACCCCCCGGGGTCGTCTGCATGGCCGCTGTCGCTGTCGATGTGAGCCCACTCACACTCCTTTGTTCCCCCCTCCCCTAAACGTTTCCTGTCGCACACCCTGCCCACGGATTCCCAGCGCCACCCCTCCCCGGTTCGTCCACCTCTCCCTATTGGCGTCGGGCTCAGGGGTTACAACCTGTCCTCGACAATGGGCACGGCACTGCACTCAGCCGTGGGAGTCGAGAGAAAGAAATCGCGACCCAGCCAATGAAGTTGCGTCTTTATCTCTGGCAACTGCTCTCAGCTCTCTCTAGGGCAACGATCCCCCGATAATTTGAGATCAGGGGACTGGGGGGGAACTTGGGGGGGGGGGTGTTGATCGCTCAACCATGTCTTGAAACCACAGTCACCACATTCTTCCAGGCTGCGCTGCACCTCTCATGAATCTAGAGGATGGCCTTGTGGGCTTCTAATCTCTTCAAATCTCATGTACAGGCGAGGATTGGCCTTGCTGGCATGACATGGCCGTCCGGTGACTGGCCTCCCAAGGACCCAAAACGGAGAATGCAGGCGAAAACAACATTGCCAGTCTTCCTAGTCTTCCTACTACTCACACACGCCATCCTATGCTTCGTTACGGATGCTCGTAACACAGCATTAACCGTTCAGCCGAAGGGCTCTCAGGCAGACGGCGCGACTCGAAAGGTAAGAGAACTCCAGCGACCCGGGACACTAGTGATTAGTGACCGCTGAGGGGCCCCCCGTGCTCTCAAGAAGCTGAGGATGACGGATAACGGAGCCAGCGGGAGTGCACAGAGATTCCACTCAACGGGCCTGGGACTGGGGTGAAAAGGCTGACAGGCATAACCCGGAACTGTCATGATTTTCGAGGGGGCCAGCCTACAACATTACAACATTACCTACATACGTACAACGTACCCAACCCACATCCACATCCACATCGCATACCGAAAGCAACCCCGTCACGATGCTCTCCAACTTGACCACTCCCCAAGATGGCCCACCGCACGTCTTGTGGTTCTGGAGAGGACTAATATCTGTTAAGCTACGAAGTAATTACTCCGTAATGATTATTAGGTAGCATGCACCCCATCACCCCATGCGTCTACTCGGATCGGTTCTCGACATTCCTCCGCATGGATAATAGGCGGCAATTCGCACCTTTCGGTACTGATCTCACCGTCGTCATCGGAAGGGCAGGGATATACATGTACGGATACAGTCATTGGACAGGGGCCTTCTGGATGGCCTCTGGATGGCCTCTGGATGGCCCCTGGATGGCCTCTGGATCCGCGATGCTCAGCAGAGCCCTGTCAAATCTATTCGTACATACGTTGTAGATGCAGAGGGCATTTCCTACTCTCTCCGGGTTCCATCCCTCCCTCCCTGCCCCTTCCGTCCGCCCCCTGGTCCCCGCATACGCACTCCCGAATTTCTCTTGTCCATCACCTTACGATAATTATTATTATATTGTCCTGCTCGTGAAACCTGGGGAAAGCCAAGTCGACCTTGCTTTCTGGATCTCTTTTTCATTTTCTTTTTCATTTTCATTTTCTTATATTCCCTTTGCACGAACGGACCTCGTCTCTTCTCTCTCTGTCTCTCTCTCTCTCTCTCTCTCTCTCTCTCCTGAACGGTAGTTGCTTTCGACGCTGTCCCTGCCGTATTCCCTCGGATCTTCATGCTTCCTTCAAGAAGAGACATCCCCCCCCACCCTGCACCGCCCGTCCATCGTCTCTCACTCCGGGCGCCTAGGTCGGCTTGCGGGCTTGGTGTCACCGGAGAGCTACCCGCCTACCCGAATCTCGGCGCTTTTAGCATCTCGTCCACGACGACAGCACTCCTGCAACTTTACTTACAGCTTAAGCCCCGACTGCACCAGGGCCTGAAGGACGCCCTCTATTAGTTCCAATTAAGACGTCCATACTCAAAAGTTCTTTCTTTTGCCCCTTGTACAGGTCCAGCCTATTGATCCAGCTTCCCGTCTCTTCTACCTTCTTGCCGCACCCACACGAAGACGCCCAACGCACGGAAAATACTAGCCCAGGGAGGGGACCTCCCAGTAGACCCCTCTGAACCTTTGTACTTGCGTAGTAGCGAGGAGAGGAACGCTACCGCTCTTTCAGTCGACGAACAAACAGGCTTACGTGACGCCATCAAACGCTCGTTCTTTCCTCCGGCCCCCGGTCCAATATCGAGTCAGGGCAACTTTTAGCATCGCTATCCCACCGTCCAGTCGAGTTCTTCTTCCCAATGCTAGCCACCAGGCGCCCTAACACCGAATCCAGCCAGTGGCCTTTCAAAAAGTACGAGAAGACGTCTCGGAGACCAGTTTTGGATCCGCCACGGATGTCCAACCACCCTTTCGACGCCTCATTGTCAACACATCCGGACTGGCAGGGGCCATATTCATACTTGCCTCCAGAGAACCACACCTTCTCTTCACCCTATGAAGCTGGACATGACGCCGGGAGCGTCGCACGGGAGCAAAGCGGCAGCAACGGCGAGGGCGCTGCCAAGGTAGAGCCAGAGCTGTCCACCGCACCTCGTCGTGAAAGTGCACATCCATTGGTTCCAGGGCAAACCAAACAATCATCTCCCATCCCTGAGCAAGCCGAGCCGCAGCCGGGCAAATCCCATGCGAATAAAGCAGCCGATCTGGGCCAGGCAGAGAGCTTGGGCTCCATGGATCCATCGCGAGTTTCACAACCCCTGAGTTCGGCGTCATCAGCTGGGCAAAGTGCGGACATGTCATCGGATCAAGCGAAGCTGCAGAAGTGGTCCGGTCGAAAAGAGGACGATGACGAGATTGTCGACGAAGAGGAGATGGACATGGAGGGAGGAGATCATTCAGGAGAGCCACAAACCGCCGCTGAGCGGATTGCTCAACGGAAGAAGATGAAGCGTTTCCGGTACGGATCTGATCAGGGGAACTTCGTAGAAGGGAAGGGCTCCTTCAAACCCGCTGACTATGTTTCCTTCTCTATTGAATAGGCTCACCCATCAGCAGACCCGATTTCTGATGAGCGAATTCGCCAAACAACCACACCCAGATGCAGCCCACAGAGAACGTCTGTCCCGAGAGATCCCCGGATTGAGCCCGCGGCAGGTTCAAGTATGGTTTCAGAATCGGTAAGCGAGCCTTCGGAGCGATGCGGTTCTCCCACCCTATGGTCCCTATCTAAACAGGGCCAACTCGCTGACAACGATCAAAGGCGGGCCAAGATCAAGAGATTGACGGCAGACGACCGAGAGCGCTTGATCAAGATGCGCGCTGTTCCGGACGACTTTGACAACGTACAGGCGCTCCACTCTCCATACGGCGCAGTACGGGGGCTCGGGGGATCCGTCTCCTCCCCTGTTGACTTCAACCCATCGGGCTATGCGGAACACATGATGCCCCCCTTGGTGGTCGACGTGCGACGGTCGGAAAGAGACGACCATATGTCACCGACAGGTCTGAGCCCGGCGTTCGGAAACATCCGATTCGGCCCGTCGGCTCCGATGAGCAGCCCGGATCTCCTATCACCGCTGTCTCCTTCCACCAACGACCAGCGATATGGGTACGGCAGTCACGCGTCGGGATCCATGGGCGCAAGGGCACCACCACCAAGGCAGCCCAACGTGCTGGGACGACAGGGAAGCTTGGACCAGGGCATGATGCATAACCGACAGCAGGCCCGTCCTCTTCAACCCCTTCAGCTGAGAGACACGCTGTCTAGAACCAGATCCGAGAACCTCCAATCGCCGCTACGTGCGGGCATGTCCTGGAAGGGCGACTCGATCGACTATACAACGTATTCGGGGGATAGCGCGAGTCCTGGTGGGCGGGCCCAACCCGTCTATCAAGCAGAACAAATGAACAGCAACACACCGGGAAGCAGTCTCGGAGGGTTCGACTCGCCTTATTCTGGTAGGGAGATTTTCACCTGTCTTCCCCTTGACCGTGGTGACTTTTGGCGGCAGGCCTTACTACAGGATGATTCTGACCGACTTTCGTAAAGCAGGGCACACGATTCGATCCCCTTCCAATATGAACTACCCAGGCTACCAATCACCAAACATGCCACAAACTTCGCAGGGCAAACTGAGGGGCCGCGCTTCGTCTGCGACATTCCCGCTAGGTCTCGACCTCCGTAACCAGTACCGCCATCCCAACGCAAGCGCCCAATCTCCCGGTCCCCACCCGAACTCTGCCGGCGGCGGCGGAGATAGCAACAGTACATCGCAGGCGTCCCCGACCACGGCACCCCATTTCGGAGGCGCTCCCTCCACCGTCGCAGCATACTCGGCCGGTTTCCCGTCCGCCCCTCTGACGGCGCCCCTGGACTTTTCGTTCTCCCGGACACCCGGCAGCGGTGCGTCGGAAGGGCGGGCGGCCGGCGGGAGCGGCGGTAGCAACATGCAGGACTACAGCATGCCTCAACTGAGCGCCCCGATGGCGCCCCCTAGCGACTTCTCCCAAGCCTTCCACGGCGGCAGCGCGACCAACTCGGGAAGGACGCCCATGCGGGAGAACTTTGGGGCTGGTCATCTAGGGCCTGGCGATCAACGAGCCGGCGGAGATGAGTACGGATCATCGGACTTTGGACACGGCTCGTCGTTGAAGCGGAAGAGGGGCTTCACGATGCCTATCGGAACGCCTACTTCGGCGCCTGGTTCGCATGCCTACGGCAATCCGGCGTAAAAAAAAAAACAATATTTTCCGGACAAGATGTTGGAACGCTCAAGAGAGGGGACCGACCCACGTGGCCCCTTTCTATTATCTTTCTTTTATGAAAACAGATACCGATGACGAAGCGAAGAGTTACGACAAGACGAAGATTCGTCTCCTTTTTATATCCATCCACTTCTCTTCTCGCCACATATCTCACCATCTAGGCCCCTGCGGTGCTTTGCTCTTCAACCCAGGGCCATTGTATATTTTTTCCAGCCATAGCTGGGCTGTGAAACTGGAGAGCTGTGTGCCAGCGACTTGTTCGGTACTTGGTTTTTTCTTTTCTTTCTTTTTTTCTTTTTCTTTTCTTTTTTGTTTTTTTCCTTTCCTTTCTTCTTTTTTTCTGTTCTTTCTACTGGATACCATATATACCACGCATCCATACAACGGTTTACTGTGTTCAGATGGGACCTGTTTCCTGGGGGCTCTCGTTGATATCCGTGGAGCTCGCGAAGATCAGCCTGGCTACGGCTACAGGGAGGCAAAGGAAGAGGGCATGGGATAGTATCAGGGCACTGCTATCCTCGGAGATTCTTCGTGACATGGTTTCGGGTTCCTGTTTTCTTACTTCTCTATTCTCCTTTCGATTTTCATTTCCTTTCGAAGTCCCTCGTTTCCTTCCTTCTCTTCTTATTTCTTTTTATTCATCATTGATCTTCTTCATATTTCTTCTCGTTTTTGGTCATAGCTTGGGGCTGTCTGCTGTATATCCCAGGCTCAGATTGGACTTTGCCCGTTCATTTGTGGGCGGATCTCTTACAAGATAGAACCGGCGTCTGTTCAGAAGAGCATTACGGTTTCTGATCAGAGGCGGATAGAAAGACACTTGCTTCTGCGGCTTGTACTACACTTCTTTATTGCTTTCTGCCTCGCTGGACCTGGGCAGGCAGGCCTTTGTCGGCTGGGAGTGGCGACGTCGGCACACTGGTGAGAGAGTCTCGGTATTGAAGCTCTATATATCTGGTCACACAATCCGAGTCGCCCACCTTGGCTGCCAGCATCTCTTCCTCTCAAGGACCGGGGTATAGTTCTTACGTTTAGAGCAGGGATATGTCCCCGATAAGTTACCGACTCTCTCTCTCTCAGTCTACCCCAGCAGGAAACCCGGGCAAATGGGTAGCTGCATGAAGTCCCGGAGCGATGCCCCTTTTTGGGACCCCAGAGTATCTTGCGGAAAGTGGGCATTTCTCGGTCGCCGCCCTGGACTCGGATACTTCTCGTCATACCATCGTACCAGCTCCCGATATCTGAGGGTCGGATGGAGCCTCGGGAGCTGCGACATGGGATGATGAGGATCACGTACCTTATAGAATGGGTCCAAGTCCGACGTAGGTTGGCTCCTCGTCTGAAGAGCAGATATTATGCAGGCACCCAGCCGCTGTGATGAGGTTCCCCTTCGCCACGCCCGCGCCCCTTTCATTTTTCGTCTCTGTGGGTTCATAAAACTCGAAAATATCGGGGGTTGAAGAAGAGTATGGGCCGTAGGGAAAAAAAAAAAAAAAAAAAAAAAAAAGGAGAGAACCCCGAAACGGGGCTGTCTTCTTATGCTAGGTAGCCACGACTCGACTTTGTGTCTGAGGACTGCAGCGAGGTCGATCAAGGTGGATTATCGACCTATCTGATCCGCGCACTAACTATCATGTCCAATGTCCGGCCCGAAAATGAGTGTAGATGTGATGATGGGCATGGCAGCCCAAACGAAGCCCTGCTTCTCCTGATCCCTGTAATGGGAATTCCGCGTTATTACTCTGCCAGTGAATAGTAAACCTGCTTCACTAGTCCCCCGTATTTGACACTCTAGCACTTCCTCAGCTAGTGTCGTATCGTCCCCGGAACCCGACCATTCTAGTCAGTTGAACAGCGGCGTCTTTAGTGAATGTTGACGATCCCTCCTCCTCCACCCCTTTTTTTTTCTTTCTTCTTTTTCTTCCTCTTTTCTTCTCTCTCTTCTCATGTAGCGCATGGCGTAGTTTTATGCCGTGCTCCACCAAGAAATGTGATCAAATGCTCGCGTGAAATTCGAGACAAAAAGCCCAAAACTGGGCCTTTCACTTCAATATGCTCCCCGCTGGATAGATGACCGGCGGGATGCAAACCCTTCCTCCGCAAGTCCCTCCTGGCTCCTCGTCCTCCTCCGGCCAAGGCGCGACCGGGACCTCTCGTCCCGGTTCTGTTCCCAGCCGACAGCAGCGCTACTAGAACGGGATAGTCCTCCCACCCCATCCGAAGCGCCGCCGCGACCGTCATCAATAGACGAACGTCCCGACGCGCCCCCAAACGACCCCCCACCGACATTCTCCATGGTGAAAGGCGACGCCGTGGGGGCGTCCAGCGTGGCGAGCTCCTTGGCCGTGAACCATTTCGGCAGGAGCAGAGCGCGGACGGGGATCAGCAGCATGATGACGACGGGGAACCCCACGGCCGCGATGGTCTGGGTGATGGCGAAGGTGGCGCCAAAGGCGAAGAGCTCGACGGCGACGAAGGCCCAGATGGCGCGGCGGCGCGGCAGGGCGCGCAGGGGGTGGGACGGCGATGTGAGGGTGCGGTCGCGGGCGAGGTAGAGCATCTTCGCGGTCATGCCGTTGTCGATGAGGGCCTGGACGCCCATGATGAAGAAGAGGCCGGCCAGGACGCCGTGGGGGACGAGGTGCAGCACGGTGAGCAGCGGCGCTGTCATGGTCACGAGGGTCAGCAGGCCTTGGGCGAGGTTGGAGACGCGCTGCTCGACTACGTGGGTGGGCTCGACGACGTGGCCGCCGGTCGGTTGGCCCTTTTCGTCCAGTATCGGGAGGACGCGGCGGACGGTGAGGGCTTCGGTGTGGAAGGGGGCTTGCGGGATCAGGCCGTTGGGGAATGGGAGCCCTAGGATGCCGGAGATGCCGATGATGAGGCCGAGGAGGAATATGTCCCAGTGGAAACCGGGGGGTTTGCGGAGGGGGAACTCGGTGCCCTGGGCGATGAGGGAGGATACTGGGTTGGTCAGCATGATGGTCTTGTATGTAAGGAAAGTGGGAAGGGGGATGAAGAAGAAAAGAGGATTTCGCTGGAGCATACCATTATGATCGAACCAGAACAAAATGGTCAGAAGAACAGCAAACGGAAGGGCAAGAAAGATGTCGCCGACAGACAGGTCCCAAAAGGGCACCACCCAGTTCCGGTCAGCGGTGGGCATAAACGCGGTGCCGGTCGGGAGGACTTCGAGGGGTGTATCCCCCATGCGGCCAAGATGGACGAAGCCGGTAAAGAAGATGATGGTGAGAGGCGTCCCGTAGTCGCGGAGGAAAACGCGAACGTGGTGGTGGAAGAGGGCGGTGGCGGAACCCAGCTCGCCGAGGACGTAGGCCACCATGAAGACGAGGAGGGCGGCGACGATGGAGAGGTAGAAGGCATCGCCATCGCCATCGCCGAGCCGCTCGAGGACCTGGATGCCCTTTTGGAGGTAGATGAAGGCGACGTAGAAGCCGAAGATGTCGCAGGGAAAGCGGGTCACCCAGCGGAGCCAGTTGCACGAGTTTGTGATGGCGAGGATCCAGTGGAGGATAAGGGACCATCTGGGGGGGGTGAAGAGGTGTAAGTTTTTTTTTTTCTTTTTTTTTTTCCCCTTTCCTTTTTCCCGACATGAAAGTTGGGTTGGTCGAGGATTAAAGGGAGAGTCAAGTCGACTTACATTCCGATCCAGCACATGAAGCCCAGGTAATTGACGCCGGTGGGCTGCATGATATTGTACACGGTGCTGGGGCGATGCGGTCAGACCATTGATGAGAATGGCAAGGGAAACGAGAAAGGAAAAAGGAGTAGGAGGGAGGAGGGAGAGGGACAACCAACTAGTTGAAGACGGTGATAGGACCAGTAACACCAACGATGACAAGAGGCTGGCATGAAAAGAGGGCGAAAAGGACAGAACCAAGGACAGAAGCGAGGAGAACCTCATTCACACCGAAGCTCGAGTCGGTGCTGGCGAACATGTCGAGGGAGAAAGCCAGCGCGGGAAGGATGCTGAAAGGCTCGAGTTAGTCCGGCCCGGGTAGGAGGTCAAGGGGACGAACTCACTTGGCAAAGTACATGTAGACGGTGGCCGGGACGACGCGATAGTCCCAGGCATCGGTCCAGTCGCTGGCGTAGTACGGGGCGCGACGGCGAAGATCGCGGAGAATGCCACGGAAGAGGTGGATCGTCCACCAGCGCTCACGATCCTGCTCATGGTTGACGCTGTAGGCGGCTTCGTTGTCTGTGGAAGGAGGAGCCGGCGCGGAGCGATTCTGCGTCTTGTCTTGGGCAGGTGGCGGGGGTGCGTGCCGAGATGATGTTGGTGGTGGTGTTGTTGTCGTCGGGGTCATCTCTATCTCCGGAGACAGAGTGCCTGCCCCGAGCCCGGCTCTGGTGTCGGACCCGAACCCGGGCGCGGATTCAGCTTTGGGTTGTGTATTGTGCATGGTGTCGACGCTTGCTCCCTTCATGCATATCTGGGTATCTGGGTGTTTGAGGGGTTGACCAAAAGCAAAAGTCGACAAAAAAGGTTGGCGGGAACGTAACTTGAAGTAAGGTAGGTAATCCAGAGTATCTTTCTTATGTAATCTAAGGTAGGTTACCGAGTACGTGAGTACGGATGAAACACTGGACGGCATACAACTCCGAGGACCCGCGTCGACGTACGTTATAAATAGGACGTGAGAAAATATTCTTGTCATCTCGTCGTCTTTGTAACAGAGTATAGTAACTGAAATGTACTACTCTACGGAGTACCTACTACACGTCAAAGACCAAGGCCGCATGTCGTTCCCAGTTACCTAGGTAGGTATTAACACTCACCCAATAACCAACCAAGGTCAACCTCCTGTTGTCAACCCCCTGTTGTCAACCCCCTGTTGTCAACCCCCTGTTGTCAACCCCCTGTTGTCAACCCTGTCAACCTGGAAATCCAGCGTAACCGTAATACGATAAAATGGGTCAGATTGAGTGGCAAATACAACCTACAGCCGACATGGTATCTGATTATCTTCCGTGCCCAACTCGGCCTGTAACCGGCCGTTGGGTTGTTCCATCTCCGCACCCAATTAGTGTTGAATTGACGGGAGCGTGCTTGCAGGGAGCGTTGATTCAGGAAATATATGATTGTATTATCTATAAAAGAGAAAGAAAAAGGGGGCGGGTATACGTGTCCTAAATACATCTGCCACCTTCTAAGCGAGGATAGTAGGGCACCTCCAACTAATAGGAGAGCATTATACCGTGGCTCCTATAATAGAATATAACACACCCCCTAATTATTACGCTATAATTAGCGGAACGATTACTTAGCCTAACCTTAACCTAGCCTTATTTTCAACCTCAAAATAGCCTTAAAGGGTTATGTGATACTCTTGATATCGAGTTAAAAGGCAGGAACAAAAGCTATAAAATAATAAAAACAATAATAATAGTAGTAAATAATAAAGGAAAAGTGCTATTAATAGTAGTAGTAAATAGGTGATAGTGGGGCCTTCCGTAGATAAATTAAAGGCGTTATGCCGGCGTTCTAGAGCTTTTGGATCTTCCCTCTTATAACCCTTGTTCTGTTGTTTTTTGAGGATTTTTTTGACGATTTTAATCTAAATTTTCTAATTTTTTCTATTAATAGTAATAAAAATAATATCAATAGCGATATAGTGAGTATCGGAGCTTTGTTTTTAGTGGCGCGTGCTAACTAGTAGCGTTATTTAGGCTCCCCCTACCCTCTTGGCCGTTACCCGTACCGCGGTAGCTAAGAAAGCCTCGGCTAATAGTATGAAGAAGACTAAGGGTAAAGCCGGCACTAAGAAGGGTGCTTTTATCAGTTATTTCCGAGCGTTGGTCTGCGATGTCTCTGCTCTATTCTAAGCTAACCCCTTAGAAGACTGCTAAGAGTAGTAATAATAATAATAAGGATACCGAGGATGATTTTATTCCGGTTTTATTTGATCCGCCCTGCCTGGAATGCGTAAAGGGTATTTATTCGGGGAAATAGCGCTCGTTTAATTACTATATTTCCGTTCCTAGCCGCTCCTATCGCTACTAAAAGTATAAGGATAGAAACTATATATACCACCCTCTATAAGTTCTTACCCCCTATCTAAGGCGCCTTACGATTATAATCGTGTGCTCTATTTCGTATTAGCTCGAAGATATATACGCTATTAAGCTTTACGGCCGCTAACCTATACTTATAGTTTTTCTAGCCTTATATCCTTAGTTAAAATTCTTTTTAAGTATATTATAGTCCGTAAAATTAATAAGGACTCTAATAACGACGATAAAAAGGTGTGTTTATCGCTTTATTTCTAAATTTAAATACTCTAACTAATTATTTCGCATAGTTTTTTGCTAAACTTAAGTAAACGGTGAAGTTTATAATTAAACTAATAGAGGATAACGATAACGAGAAGTTCTTTAATTAAGGAGGAGGAGCTTAAGGGAGCTTCTAACTAAGGTCCTAGTACGCCGACTATAACCTCTACCTCCTAGCTTACGGGGGTTATAATAGATATTCTGCGGGAAAATAGTTTTATTATTACTCCTCCGGCTAGAGGAAATAGCGTAAATATTACGTAGGACGGTGCTTAGGATAGCACTAATAGAGCTTAGTAATTTAGCTAGTATACTCCTTTTTATATTTTAGGATTTTCGGATTTACTTTTAGGGTTTAGTATAGTATCGTGGTATTAAGATAACGATATACCCTCCGTTTTTTACTGAATTAACTTAACCGCCGGCGCGCGGTGCGCCTAGGGCGCGGGAATTTCGACTTTAACTGCTTTTTTCCACCCCCTCCGTGCACTTATTATATTAAGATATACTCGGAAGTTCTCGAATTTTTATCGTGGAAGTGCTTTTATTAATCCGTCCGCTAGTATTAAATTCGTAGTAAGATATACGACTCTAAATAATCTCTTTACGTTCTCCTGCCTTACCTAAAAGCGCTATATATCTATATAGCGAAGCCTAGTCTTAATTCTAAAGCTATCGTCGACTATTAGGCGTATTGTTTACGTGTTATCGTAGTGGATATCCTAAGGAGATTCTGGATTAAAGCGTATTTCGACGAAAAGACGCTTTAAACCATTTCTTTCGCCACTTACTGTAAAGCGAGTAGCTCTGCTTCGGTTATAGACGTTATTACTATTACTTGCCTTATTACTTTCTATATAATTAATCTACTAAATAGGCTAATAAGGTAACCCTGTAAAGATCTTCGTGTATCTAAATCGTCTATAAAAGAGGCGTCGCTTACGATAACTATCGCCTATAAACTAATACTCGATCCGTACTAAATTAAGAGGTCCCTTATTATAAATAAATAGCGGATAGCTTAGTCTGCTGCCTTATAGTGCTCGGGAGAGGGCTTTCTAAGAAAGCGGGAGAGGATAGAAGCGGCGAATACCATGTTAGAACGTATTATAACTGCTATATAAAGCACTAATCCGACCTTTTCTTAATAAGATTTAATCTCTTAAGCGGTGGCTTCGTCTTCTCTTTTCCGGTATTCTATAACGGGAATAGGGATTACTAGGTAGATATTTAGAGCGTCTAATTTAAACCTAGCTACGATCTTTTTGATATATAAGTCGTGGGAGAGGAAAACCTTGCGTTTAGGGCGATCTCGAGTGATCTTAATACCTAAAAACTAATCGGCTTCCCCTTTTCCGATACCTTAAACCTTATTTTAATCCCTTCGATAATCCTAAGGCCGTTTATAGCACTATCTCTATAAAATAACACGAGAATATCGTCTATAAAGAAGATAACGAATACGTCTTAAGCCTTAATATAGAATAGGCACGGTTCTTCCTTACTAGCCTCTATCCCTAAATCTATTAGGGTGGCCGCGAAGGTCTAGAACTATAGTCTAGGCGAGTCGCGTAGTCTATATAGTGCTTTATCGAGCTCTAAGCACTTATCGGGCTACTTAAATCTATCAAGAAGTTCGTATATAATGGGCATCCCTATTTTACTCCTTTAGGCGTTAACGAAGGCGTTAACGATATTAAGTTACTTAATCTCTAGATTAAACTAAGCAGCCAGGGCTATAATAATACGAAAAGATCGTATAGCGAGTGTTACTGCGTAGGTTCCCTTAATTATTAAGCTCTCCTATAAGTCCCCTCGAATATATAAGCGTGCCTTATATCGTTCGAGATATCTGTTTTAGTCGAACTTATAGGTAAAAACCTACTTTAACGGAAAAGGCTTTAACTTCGCCTCTAAGCGCTTAATTTCCCTCTATATACGCTTCTTAATTAGCTTATTCACCTCCCTCTACGCGGCTTCCTTAAACCGTTCACGTATTAGGTAGTTAGTAAGCTCCCGCTAGTGCTTTAGTATAGCCTTTAGGTGGTCGCGATAAACCCTGCCGTCGATTAAGGGCTTTAGTGACGTTATAGCCTCTTTTTTAGTATTCGAACGGGTATTTATTTTAGTATCGGCTGCTCCGAGGATTACTAAATTAAAGGTTAGAAGCCCTTCTAGCCCGTCCTAACGCTCTTTTTATTAATTAGATAAGAAAAAGGCATATATTAAAGGCCTATCTGGCTCTACCTAATATATCCGTGGATTAATCCGAATAGTCTTTCCTTAAGCACGGCGATCGGTGATTCTTACGCTAGCGCGCATTGCTTCCTTTACTAGTATACTCTTTTTCCTTTAGTAGGCGGTCACCTTAGGAGTCGGTCGGATAGGTAGTCTAGATCTGGACGCTATAGTGCGGCTAGTGCTATGGTGCGGATTAGGGGTAGCTAGTCCCTATACCGTCGCCTGCGCACTCCTTTCTATAGTTAAAATCGTCGAAGTATCCGTATTAAGCTCTAGTATATATAATCCTAGCGTATCGGTTACGGTGTCTTCTTTTATAGCCGCTCCGTTATCTTATTAGTCGGAAGAATTATTAATTAAGAGTTCCTTCGAAGACTACGGCTCTACGCTTATAACCTAAAGATTCCTGCTCTAAGGATTAGGTGTTACGCGTGGGGTTTAAAGTCCTGTTACGGGCGGTTCGGGTATACTAGGTACGTCTATATCTGGTAGTGGCAAAGAAGCGTTTATTCATACCTCTACTACTCCTACCCCCGAGTTTAAACCCGTGGACTATGCTTATTCTCTAAAAGGTACGCTATTAATTAATCTATCCGGAGGGTAGGCCTATAGGATAAAGTCGTTATCTTTATCTTCATATATTTCGTAAGTTATAAGCTAGTTCCTCGTCTCGGGCTCCGGGATCTATTCTGCTTCTTCGAGCTATGGTTTATAAAATAGCTGCTCGTTAAACTATATATTACGTGTTATAATAACTTTCTAAAGCTATAGAATCTATACTCGGTAAATATTATAGGTAACGTAACCTATAAGATACCTAATATATCCCCTTAGTTAAACCTTATATAGTTTCCTATTCCTCCTAGCCTCCCTATCTCTTACTATTAGATAGGCGCGGTAGCTATAAGTATAAATACCACTTTAATCAGGGCGTAGGTCGGCTATATACTCTCTTATTAGAATCGGCATATTCTTTCTAAACTATAAATCGAGGATTTCTACTAGGGATTTCTATCCGTGTCGTTATAAGGGACTTATATTATACCATAACGCTACCGATCTAGTACTCTCTAGCTATTTATCTAGTGGAATTCCTGCTCCGTTAAGTATAGCGTTAGACTTTATAATAATTAATTAACCGGCTCTCTCGCTACCTCCGTTCGGTTTATAGGTATAGGGCGGTATAATTTCTATATCGATCCCTTAACTGCTTGCCTATAGCTAGGTTATTAAATCTCCTGCTAGATTGACGATTAAGGGCTTGTTATTACTGCGTATCTTATAGATATATAATATAAACTGCCGATTAACCTATCATTCGAAGGCTTACAGCGCGTGATAAACCGTAACGCTGTTTTTCGAAGCTAAAGGCAGCACGTAGATCCAGCCGCTATATTCGTCCTTTATTATAAGAAGATATCGTATACCGTTATAGCTTTTAGGTAGCTCTTAAAGATTCTAATAAATACGCTAAAACGGTTATAGGGAGCGGTATTCTAACGTGTATTAAGATATAACTTAACGTGCCTAGGTTCGGGAGTATATCTCGTAGTCTATCTGTTTAGTTCCCTTAATTAACACATTCCTGGTATTATAAACTAATACTTATAGAGCGTTTAGTCTAAGATAGCCTGCTCTTAAATACTATAGATATTCTTCGTCGACTCGTGGATAAGGAGGGTCGCGGGAAGGTTAGTAATATCGGTAAGCTCTTATTAGTTAATCGACTACTATAACTAGTATATATTAATAGTCGTAATTAATCGGAATAACACCAAGTAGTATCGGTTAGAATAACGAATAAGAAGAAGAAGAAGATAAAATTAGCTTATACTAAAGGATAGTTATATTAAAGCGTCGAAGCAGCTTTAATAAGACCACGCTCTTCTCCGCTATTCTAAAGCGTAACGAGTAGTTATATCCCGAATACTAGATCCTAACCTTATATAATAGAGCTTCCGATATAATATTTATATAAAATCCCTCCACGATAACTATATCGTTAAGCTCTAAGTTAGCTTTCGGAGCACCTAACGTTAAGCTCTAAGTTAGCTTTCGGAGCACCTAAAGGTCTATTAAGGATTCCCTTAAGAAGCCGTTTACCTTTGCTAATAATCGGAAAATCGGTTATACCGGATTCGATAGATCCTTCTATAGGAACGAAGGAACCTGGAATAAGCAGGTCGATTCAGTTAATAAGGTGAGTTACGCCGTAATTATTAAGAAGAGTGCTCTGTGAGAGCGGGTAGGGGCCTGGTTGAAGCGCGGCGTAGATCCTAGGGACCTTTTCTGTAGTGTAGATAAGGGCGGGATCCAGGATAGTTATAATAACCTTCCTAGGATACCTATCTCCACCCTTACTGTTACCGCTCTCCGAGCTTTCCTATCACTTTTTCGATAGTTTTTCCCGTAAGCTTTTCCACTTTAGAAGCTTAATCTCCTTCTGTATCTCCTTACACCACTTATTATTAACGTAGGTATTAGATCTCTGCTCGTATTTTCCGGTTAGAGCGTACTCTAGCTTATTATAGTGCTCTGGCTTCTAAGTATGCTCGCGTCGATAGGGGTAATTAATACTCTTCTTCTTAGGCTTTTTTCCGCCGTTATTATTATCTAAGCGGTCTCCTAGGGTCGCGTAAACGCCGTGGCGCGTGCTATCCGTGGTTAGAGCGCTTATAATAGCATTAAACTCGCGGCCATATATTAGAAGATCGGAAATCTTGTCGCCGCGGACCTCTTTTATTACTAGCTCCTAAAGCTTAGTTTCTGCCTAAATAGGCGTAAACTTTTATCTAACTACTATAAGGAAGTTCCGAATAATAGTGGGTCCTTTAATCTCGGCTACTTTTTACTAATATACGCGTCTAATAAGGGTATTCTACTCTGTATACTATATAGCCACTTTAGTGTTAGCTCGATAAGCGTCTTATAGATACTTTTCGTATACTCGTCTTATCTTTTCCTTCGTGTAAATACTGCTTAGAGCGAAGCTACTCTTAAGTTCTTTTATTATATAGCGTAACGTAAAATATCGGTTTTATTTTTCCTTATCGTAGCCGGGATATCTCTTAATAGCTTCTTCGATAGCCTATTAATAAGTAAAGGTCTCCACGGTGGTTTTAAGTAGTTAATTAGCCTTATCGAGCGCCTTAATAAGGCGACTAAGCTTTTAATTCTAGGCTATAGTCTACTAATTCTCGATTTCGGCGAGGCGTATAAGCTCCTACGTTAAGGGCATAATAGTATCGTCGCCCTCGCCTTAGGAATACTATTCGCGTAGTTAATCCAGGGATTTAGGCATAATATACTTAGGACGGTTATCTGGCTAATCCTTTTAGCTAGGATCGAGTAGTGCCTAGACCTCTATCCTTTACGTATACGACTGGATATAGAAGATCTAATCGGCCTATTACCGCGTGGATTTAAGGCGCGGGATACCGAGCGCTTTAGCCGTGATCTCGAGCTTATTCGATATAGTGTCGAGTAAGGGTTTAGCGAATAAGAGCTTATTATTAGGAGAGAGAGCGTAGGAGGGCTCCGTAATACTGTAAAAGTATATAAAAATAAACGTAGATAATAGATTAGTAGGAAGTTACTAGTTACTACTACTACCCGGGCTTATAACTATTAAATTAACGAGAGCGTGCTTATAGAGAGCGTTGATTTAGGAAATATATAATTGTATTGTCTATAAAAGAGAAAGAAAAAGGGGGCGGGTGTACGTGTCCTAAATATATCTGCTACCTTCTAAGCGAGGATAGTAGGGCACCTCTAACTAATAGGAGAGCACTATACCGTGGCTCACGTGATAGAATATAACAATTAGGACCCCCCCTGAAGGATTTCAATGTTCATACCACGCGAATATCAAGAACACGAATATTGAAGGACATCTAGTATAATCAGACTCTTTTCTATGTGAAGTATTTACACATAAAAGTACAATTGGGTAGTTTCTTCTGGCGTCTTTTTGTTTGTTTGGGAAGTGTATCCTTTTCTTGCCTGCCTGTCCTTGTCGTACCATAAACACCCTTCTTATCAAACACAAAAGTAGAGTTGGTTCCTACGACCTTCCTTGGTCCCGGTTGTTGACCTCTGGAGGACCGATGACCAAGGGAAATCGTCCAAGTCGGGGTCGAGTTGATGCGCCACCAGATCCTTGGGGCCGCCCGTGGCCCGTGTCCCGTCGGTGTGTAGGCGAGAGGTTGCTGGGGTAATCCGGGTATACTGAAAGGTGAAGACTGTATCTGTCTGCACTTCGCGTTCCCCTCCCCCCTCCCCCTTGCGGGGGAAAAAAAAGAAAAAGAAACAACAAAGGAAACGCCCTTGATTACCTCAGCTCATCCCTTCCCCGCACCTCTTTGAACGCCGGCGACGGCTGCTCCTTCGGCGGACTACCCGCATCCTCCGCAGGCGGTGGCGGCGGCGCGCTCTTCTGCCCCTGGCCGCCGCTGCCGTCGGGCTTCTTCAGCCCGTCTTCCCCGCCAAAGTACTTCTCAAAGTCCTGGTGGTCCGGGAACGGCCGCTTGCCCAGCAGCCGCACCATGTCGTCGCGCGTCAGCATCTCCTTCTTGAGCAGCTCCTCGGCGACGAGCCCGACCTCGTGCTTCTTGGCCAGCAGCAGCTCCCGGCACTGCGCGTACGCCTGGTCCACGATGCGCCGCACCTCCGCGTCGATCGCCTGCGCCGTCGTCTCCGAGAAGGGCTTCTGCAGCTGGTGCGGGTCCTCGCTGAAGTGCATCGGTCCCACCTTGTCCGACATGCCCCACTCCGTCACCATCTTGCGCGCCATCTGCGTCACCTTGCGGAAGTCGTCGCTCGCCCCCGTCGTCACCGTCGGGAAGTGCAGCTCCTCCGAGATCCGGCCCCCCAGCGTCATCGCCATCCGGTCCATCAGCTGCTCCACCGTCATCAGGTACGCGTCGCCCGACGGCAGGTACTGCGCGTACCCCAGCGCGCCCTTGCCGCGTGGGATGATCGACACCTTGAGGAGCGGGTCCGCGTTCTCAAAGTACCAACCGCAGATGGCGTGCCCGGCTTCGTGGTATGCCACCGTTCGCTTCTCTTGGGGCTTGAGCACCAGAGACTTGCGCTCCAGACCGCCGATGACCCGTTCGATGGCTTGTTCGAAGTGAATGAGTTCGACCGATTCGGCGTTGACCCGGGCAGCTATACGAATGTTAGACCAGGGAGGGGGGGGAAAAAAGGAGGAAGAAGTAGAGAGAGGGAAAGGCAAAAAAAAAAAAAAAAAGAAACACCTACCAGCAAGGGCGGCTTCGTTCACCACATTAGCAATATCCGCACCAGAAAACCCAGGCGTCAGCGTCGACAGTCGTCCCACCAAATGCTCCTGGTCCTCCTTGGTCACAATCTTCTTCAAGTGCACCTTGAAGATGTCCTGCCGCCCCTTCATCGTCGGCCGGTCGATATAGATGTGCCTGTCGAACCGCCCGGGCCGCAGGAGCGCCTGGTCGAGGATGTCGGCCCGGTTCGTGCCCGCCAGCACCACGATCTGCTCCGACGTGTTGAAGCCGTCCATCTCCGTGAGGATCTGGTTCAGCGTCGACTCGCGCTCGTCGTTGCTGCCACCCGGTCGGCTGCCGTCCTGCCGGGACCGTCCGATGGCGTCGATCTCGTCGATGAAGATGATGCAGGGGGCGTTCTTGCGCGCCGACGCGAACAGGTCCCGCACGCGCGACGAGCCCACGCCCACGAACATCTCCACGAACTCGGACCCGCTGACGCTGAAGAACGGCACGCCCGACTCGCCCGCCGTCGCCTTGGCCAGCAGCGTCTTGCCCGTCCCGGGCGGGCCCGACAGGATGGCGCCGCGCGGGATCTTGGCCCCCAGCCGCTCGAACCGCTCCGGCGTCTTGAGGAAGCTCACAAACTCCATAATCTCCGCCTTCGCCTCGTCCATGCCCGCCACGTCGGAGAACTTGACCTTGACCGCCGACTCGTGGTTGAACATCTTGGCCTTGCTCTTGCCGAACCCGAACATCTGGTTGCCGCCCCGTCCGCCGAGACTGCGGGTCGTGTACATGAGCAGGCCGACGAGCAGGAGCGTGGGGCCGAACGCCATGATGATCGGCCACATGCCGCCTTCGGTGGCGTAGTTGACGGGGATGCGGTCCTGGAGAGGGATGCCGAGCTGGTTCTGCGCCTCCTCAAGCTGCTTCTGGAACGAGTCGACCGAGCCGATGGAGAAGAAATACTGCACGTTCGGGTCGAGTCCACCGGCGGACGGGGCGTCCTGGTGCAGCTCGACGCGGACCTTGCCCGTGTTGTAGACAGTGAGCTTCTTCACGAGGCCCTTGCTCAGGAAGTCCTTGTGCACCTCCTGCCAGGTGATCTCCTTGCTCTGTCCGAAGAAGGTGGCCTCGGCGTACGGGATGATGAGCGCCCAAACGACGGCCGCCATGATGAGGTCGCCCGTGCTGAACCGTCCGAGGAACCATTTCTTGCCGAACGGGTTGCCGCCATCCTGGGGTCCGCCAGACTCCTTGCCGCCCTTGTTCTTACCGTCGCCCCCCTTGCCGCTCCCCGCGCCTCCCGCCTGGCCTGCTGCTGGGCCGCCGGCCTTCTTCGTCTGCTCCTCGTGTCGCTCCTCCTTTTCCTGTTCCTGTTCCTCCGGCCGAGGCTCCTTGGCACCCTGCGGATCTTGCTCTTTGCTCTTCACCGCATCCTTATCCCGGCCGAGCGCGCGCCTATGCATCGTCACCTCGTATTCGGCGAGCCTCTTGGTCATCTTGGTCAGGATGCGGATGACCCTGCCCATCTCCCCGATCGTCAGGTTGCCGTTGGGGTGCCGACGAGCCAATTCGCGCAGCTCGTCCGGCGCCCCGACGACCCTGATGGCATTTACCGTTCGATTGAGGTCATCCTTCATGAACTGGGGCAGGCCCTTGAGGGCCCCAAACTGCCTGAATCTTTCGAGTTCCTCTTCGGTGAAGTGGACCCAACCATCCGGGAGCGGGAATTCCTTTCGTGTCTTTTCCAGTTCGGTCTGTCCGTCTGAAGACTCTTCCGGCACGCTGTTGTTGTTGTTGTTGTTGTTGTTCTTGCTGCTGCTGCTGCTATTGTTGCTGCTGCTCTCTTTCTCGTCACTGGGTTTGTTCTTGTTCGGATCCTCGGTCGAGTAGAACCGTAGTGACGACGGCGATGATCTGGAGGGCGATTGGGGCAAGTGTCGTGCTGTCAACGGGGCGAGACGCGCCAGTCTTGATGTCGAGGAGAGAGATCTGCCGAGAGCGAGCTGCTGTGATTGTCTGGCTATTCGCGCCAGCTGCGCTGATTGACGAAGAATTCGCGCCATGACCGTGGCAACCCCGGACTAGGCCGGGGGGGAGGAGTTATGTGACGACGGACGTGGAATAGATGGGAGAGAGAGGGATGGATGGAAGGGTTAAGAGGGTAAAGAGGTAAGAATGAAAAAAGGATTAGATGGAAGGAATTCCAAGAGGGTTCAGCTCATCGACGCGTTTTCCGACTGATGACCATCCATCCGGCAAAAGAAAATAAAATAAAATAAAATGACAGCTTCCCCCAATGACACGGTGGTTGTTTGAGAAGGATTTGTCCAAGTCGTGTGCGTAAGTTGAGGCGTTGCTCGGATTTTGCGGCCGTGACTCGTCGGAGGCAAATCTCTTGCACTAGGTAGCTACGAGGTACGGAGTACATGCAATGGGCGATGGATGGAGATTATCGGCTCACCGGGATTCGGAGCTAATTATCGCCTACCTTATCCGGGGCGTGACCAGATTCTGACTAATACAGTATCACGTGACTCTATTCATCGGACCACATCCACGGAGCCTTCAACAAAACCCGACAAGTAAAGAAAAGAAAATGAATTACGGTAATAAGGGCCTGCCTTACTAGGGAGACTCGCACAGACCTCCCTCGGGGTGGAACAACCTAACGGCCGATTACGCGACTTGTCCGTAGGACTGCCGGGCATCAATTGTGCCTCCTACAACCCGACATTTTACAACGTTTTACGGCTTCAATACAATCAATTCGGAACCTCTCAATCTGACCGTTCTTATCGTATTTACCCTTTACGGTTACGCTGTATTTGACACTCATCGTATCGTCCGCCACCATTTTCATAATACGTTTCCCACGTTTCCATTTTTACACTGACGGATACCCTTCGCCGTTTGTCTCTGCCCAGTTCCAATCGTTTGTCGTTGGATGTGAATACGAGTCCTGAGGCTGAACAGAGTTCGGCATCCATTGCCCGTTCATGGGCGCAGGGACGGGGGAGCCCATCCCCGTGTCGATCCCCATTCCCCCCATTCCCGTCCCCATTCCCGTCCCCATTCCCATTCCCATTCCCCCCATTCCCGTCCCCATTCCCATTCCCATTCCCATTCCCATTCCCGTTCCCGTAGCCGGTCCCGGTCCGATGCCCATGCCCATCTCCACGTCCGGTGCCGGTGCTGGCTGCATGCGTTGTGCTGTATACCCCCTACCGGTAGAGGCGTCCGCCCAATCGCGAAGATCTAGTGGTTCTATCAGTTCTTGCGGTACCTGCCTCAGCTGCCAAATGCTAGGCTCGGTTGCTGTTGCCGTTCCTGTTGCTGTTGCTGGGCGGGGTTCTGGCACCCCGTTGGTTACCACAGGGCTGTTGAATTGATTCCGTTGCCGGTTGGCCTCGGCGTTGAATTGGGGAGAAAGGTATTCTCTGTTGACGCTGTTGACGCCATTGCCCACAGCCGTCATCGTCGCCGATGTTGGTCTCCGCCTTTGTGGTGACGCGGCGGGCTGATGCTCCGTACCGGCAGCAGCAGCCGCCGCGGCGGTGGGGGCCGTGGGGCTGCAGCTCCTCCTTTTCCTCCGTGTAAAAGATAGGTCCTTGTCAGCCTTCGCAATCGCCGCTTTAGCGACTCTCAAAAACTCCGTGCAGATTCCGAGCATGCGGTGAACGCCGCCCGTCTCGGCCTCCTGGCCTAGTCTGGATAAGAACGTCACGACCACCTCCATCAACTTGGAGTCCGAAGTTGCCCTGCGGTCCATAGGGTTCTGCAGGATATTACTGAATAGCGTCATCAGTGCAGCCACGGGGAAATAGAGCACAAGCCTAGGTCGACAGAGTTAGAAGAAAAGAAGAAGAAAAAGAAAAGAGCGGGAGTTTGTTCAGGCATACTAACCAGACAATCGACAGGTCCCCTTTCGGAATATATTCGAGCAGCGACACCGTCGTCCTTGCGGCGGCCGTGGTTATGTAGGCGGAGGAGAACACCCGGGGGTTCAGAGGTTTGGTGTTCCGGCCCTTCTTGGCAAAGTCGGCTAATCGGCTGGTCCAGTATCCACCCCGCACCGACATTCGATGTATCGTCGTCAGGCAGTTGTGGTAGGTCATGTGCAGCATGACCACATGCAAGATGAGCGGCGTATGCGAAGCCCTAATTTCGTGGTCCGGTCGGAAGTCGATGGGAATCCGATTTCTCCAAGCCTCCAGCTCCTCATCCAGATTGCAAATGGTGTAGAGTAACTCGCCACACGATTGTTTCGCCGCCTTTGTCGAATACAGTCGACGGTACACCTTGCTCTCGATCTGGGCGATCTCGCACATGGCCCGGAAGAGATTCATTTTCCCCTTGCCGTTGGGCAGGGGAATATTGCCGATGTTATCCTCGGGGTCGGCATCCGGTAGCTCCACGTTCATATCGTCGTCATCCTGCGCAGGCGGCCGCCCCGAGCGAAGGCATGCATCCTTGTCCAGCATGTAGGCGATCCAAAATACCCTCTTTCTCTGTTCAATCTCGATGGCATCGAGGTTGAAACCGGCTCCCCGCGTGTGCAGACCGATGCTATGGGCCAGGCGAATGGCGGTGGAGACGAGGACGAAGCTCGGGTTCGAGTTCGGGGTGCCCTGCAAGAAGAGCGCCATGGCTAACAATGCCTGCACGCTAAAGAGGTCGGTACTCCGCATGGCCAACTCCGGGAAGCAAGCCATGGCGTTCTTCAGATAGCCCCAGGCTTTTTCGTCCTCCTCCTGGGGCACAAGGTCGCTCATGACGCGGAGGCGGTGGCCAAAGGCGAGACAGCAGTTCAAGCTGGCCCACCAACCGGTGGTCTCGTATGGCTCCCCCGAGTACTGCCGCTCGACCAGGTGCATGAACGTCGGCTGGTGAAAGAGGGGGAACATGCAGTTGAAGTTCCCGAAGTAGTCCTTCAGAAGCGAGACTGCCTCGGCTTTCGGGGGCAGTGGCCGGAACACGGGACGCCTAAAAAGATCACCAAACACCTCGGGCTTCCAGTCAGTCCACCTGTTGTCGCCGATAGAGCCGTCCGATATCATCATCTCGAAAGGGTCATCTCCCGTCTTCTCCTTCACCCACTGGATCCCCTTGGGCGACAAAATGGAGAAGCCAGACGAGGAGCCGAAGTACTGCGTCTCGCCGGACTCGTTCGTTACGAGAGAGCCCATCATTTCTCGCAGTTCCTCCACCTCGGACCCGCTCACTTCTTCTTCCTTCTCCGAGGCCTGATCCGACTCAGGCCCAGGGGAAGCCAAGGAGCTTCGCCGGGTCGATGTGGCTTGGGGATGTGCAGATGACGACCCATGCGGTGAGCCGGCTCGAGAGCCTTGGTGCAGTCCGTCGTACTTTTCTGCTAGTGCGCTCTCCAGGGCTCCGAGGTCAATCTCGCCGTCTTCATCCTCGCCCTCCAGGTCTGCTAATTTACCTAAGGGAAGGCCAAAAGTAAGCTACATGATGGTCGGGGTATGGGTATGGGTATGGGTCGGAGAGGGATAAATTACGGGCATATTTCGCAATGTTTTCCATTCGTTGCAACCTGTTCTCAAGGGCCTTGACGTATCGAGCACTAATCGTGGAATGTCAGCGTCAACGTCAACGTCAACGTCAACGTCAACGTCAATCCGTCCAGCAAGCAAAGCCCACAAGGCAACACGTACCCCTTCTGAATCGTGCGCTTCTTCTCGACTGGAGTGAAGACACAGTCGGTCCTGTAGGTGAGACAATGGCCACAGGCGGGCTGCCGTCCATCGCACTTGATCTTTTTTCTCCGACACGTGTCGCAAGCCTAGGCATCGTGAGAGTATTTGCGTCAGTCGCACCATTGGCATGTGTATCAGCCGAAGCCGGTGAAATAAAGAGAGCTCACTCACTCTCGCTATCCTCCTCCGTTTGGCCTCCGCCGCATCATCGAGCATATCGGAATGCTCGAACATCGGCATCTCTGGAACCAGGATTGGAATGTGATGGCCGCCGAGGCGAAGGCCGTTGAACATCGCATGTCGTGGTGGTGGCGGTTGTGCATGCGCCATTTGGCTCAATGGCGAGCTCATGTAGCTCATGCTCGGAGGGTACTCCGGGGGCGGATAGCGATGGTCCATAAAGCTAGGACAAGGTGAGTAAGCGGGGCCTTTTTCCCAGTTCCATTTCGGCGGTAATGCATCGATGTCCATGGACGTAGATGAACCGTCCGTGGTGGGAATAGTCGCCCCTTCGGGCATGTCTCCTCTCGACATTGGACAATTGCCGCGGGCTTAGTGCTGATGGGAGACAGAACGGGCGGCAGTGGAGGATATGCAAGCTGAGTAACATTCGTTCAGCACGCGAAGATCGACTCGCTGAATTGGCTGCTGATCTGCCGTTAGGGAATAATGAAGATGAGAGGTCGAAGGCAGCAGGAAAAATTGAACTTTGAACCTCACAGAGGCTAAGAGTCAGGCCAGGCTGAGGTATAGGGGTGATGATGAAATGATGAGATGATGAGATGATTAGATATTTTTCGAAGAATTTGGATAGGGGGGAGGACTGCGAAAATGGTAGGAAACGTTGACGAGACTCGGGATACCGCGGAGAAGTGGAAAAGAAGCACTCGGAAAGAGATAGAGAGGAAAAGGGAAAGAAAAAAGAAAAATGGAAGAAGAGAAGACATAGTATAAGAGAAGGATGGATGTCCCGGAGAACCGAAAGGAAAGCTGACTGCCGACACTGGGCGATTGGGCGTTTCTGTGCCAAAGGTTATACCTAACTACACGAAGTATGAACATGAACAACTACCTACCTTACCTAGGTAGGTAGGTAGGTAGTAACCTAGTATCAATGGTAAGGGAAGGTACCTTAGTTACCGCAGAACAGCCAAGAGCAACCTGGAAGGTAGGCAGGGTCCTGCCAGTGCCGGGGCACCAGCCCATCTTCACAAGGCAACGCCGCGGGCGCTAGGACCTAATTTATGGTTTCGTCGCAGAGTTGATCTCTGACTCTCTCCTTTGGGGCGTGGTTTGGGTTCAGCCCCAAGTTGAGAGATCTCTCGAAACAGTCGGGTCTAGCGTCAGGGGCCACGTGTGTGTGCTACAAGGAGAATTCTGGTACTGTAGGCATCAAAGTCGCCGAATTATTACCCATGACACCAATGGTACCTTGAGTCTAATGGATACCTTATTCGTGCCATGGCCCAGGTACCTCTCTGTCAGATACCCGTCTATATAACCAACTCATCTACCTAACCCGGGGGAGGGTTGCTGTTGTTTATAGGTCAGAACTCTGAACAGAGGATGTCTGCGCTGGCTAGGCCAGAGCCGGCCGGGACAGAGATGTTCCAAGACTGTCAACAGTCTGGCCTTTGACCATGCCCCCACCCCTTCTCCACATACACGCATTCTTTTCCTTTCATCTGATGACATAACATTAGAATAGCCAAATGGTATCTAATTGGTTGACCGTCGGGTAATATTGGGACGAGTGGCGCGCTAACTCTTTGGCGCAATACCTAAACTTCGTACAACGCAAGGTCCCTACCTTAGATTTCCTAAGCGTACCTGGATACAACGTTTGTGCGGTATGCTTCTGTGGCTCGAGACGACTCATAAATCGATTCTCAACCAACAAAGGTGGCTAATTTAAGACGTCTCCGAATATCATCAATAAAAAAGTATAGAGCGTGCTATGACGAAACCTTCTCGAAGCAAACTGCCGTTTCTCTTTGAATCGAGTCGGGGTTGTCTGGCCAATTTGTGCCCGCAAGCTCAACGTGCTTCATGATCCCGCATCATACCCCGTAGTGTCAACGAAGCCAGAGCCTGAGCGCACGGAAATACATGCAACCCTCCACGGTCCAGTTGCATCATCAAGATGCACGAAGCTCTCCTTCCCCAAGCTCCACCACCGTAGTGTATCGTGAATGCCAAAGTGCAGACGCAGGTACAGGCATGGATTGTGCGTATGCATGTGGGGCGCGTCCCTGAAACACACATGAGACGGTGATCGGACTCGGACCCCTTGATGCCTGTGGAACTTATACCTACATACAATCCAAGACGGTGGCGAGTTTCTAAAAAAAAAACTCTTCGAACTTCTTTGATTAGTCGCCTACTGTCGGAGCAGGTCGGAGGGCAGCCGAGTCATGGTTCTCAAGTACGTTGTAAGCCCCCGCCTCCCAGCGAGTTAGACGGATAAGAATCTCATATTACCCAATTTTTTATTGATGTGATTCTTTGGTCTTCATCATGTCCCCAGGTGTAAGGCACTTGGAGAAGTCATGACAACGTCAGGGCCGGCGTTTCCATGAACGGTGCCTACACGTGTAGAGTGCCATATGGATGGATTCAAAGCCACACGGAAAGTGTCTTATTATAATACTCAAGATCGGATACATCATACAGATTGCTTGTTTCTGCACGCGGCTTATTGTTTAGCTTTCGCATTTTGACACCCATAATTCCCTATTACCACAGCCCAGGGGTACTTTCAACTAGGTAATTACTTCGTATAAATCCCCCAATTGACCCAACTTTACACTAAATCGAGGGGATGTCCGGGTCCACTTTTCCGCACTCGCTTTTAGTTGTAACTTTATGTCAACTTCATAACCCATCATCAATGCCCATTCTCCGTCTCTTGGGCCGTCGTGTCCTCCAATTGGTCCTGAGCTTGATTTAGAATCTTACAGTCGCCTCATTTAATTACTGGCACACTTACTTCGCTGGTAGAATGATACGAACGATGCCCAATAACCCCGCTCAAACCACTAATCGCAGTGGCGACTTGGCCAATAGCGCGACGGCTCGCGGCAAACTCGGCTCGAATAGCCCTTAATGTAGACGCGATCTCTTCTAATGCACTGGCCTGCCGCTCGGCAACCGCTAGTCGGCGGATAGCCACCTCGTCACCTTCGTCCGTGACACCGAGTGGTGACTCAATAACGTCAATGGGTCTTTTGGGGGCCCTCTGGAGGGCCTCCCCGCCTCCGCGTCCTCGACTCTGAATGGCTTGTCGTTCTTCCCGCTTTCGCCTCCACGAGGAGAGCTGTTCCTCGCGCCTTTGGCTCTCGAGGGCAGCCTTTCGCGCTTCCCCTTTCAGTCGCTCTAGTTCGCCCTGCAGACTATCAGCATAGCCGGTGGACTATCCCATACACGGCTAGGTATTTACAGAAAGGCTGTCCGGACTCTCGGCCCGATGTCGATCAACACAAAGACGGAGATGTAGCACCGAGCCGCGATACGCAGGTGGGATCTCCTAGAGGTCAGCAACTGAGAGAATCCACACAGGCAAATTCAGTCGGGAGGACATGCCTGGACACATGGTCCGCCAAGTTGTTGACAGGAAGTACATTCACCGGAACCGCCTATTACGAGGTTGAGCGGCAGCCTTGCTATGACGCAGCCCGACAACTCAACTTACTGTTGTTTCTCTCACACACCGGGATCTTAATTTCGCCCTCCTTGTCAGGACTGTAGTTGAATTCGGTCAATCGAAGAGCGCATCGGGCACATGGAACAGCCAGTGGCGTGTAGTTGACGCCATCTTCACGGCGGGGATACTCGATGACGACCGGCAGACCGCCGCCAGCCTGGTTGTCGTGGACCGACATAGTGAAGTGAGGCTGGCGAATTGAGATGGAGTCGAGAAATTACATCACACCGAATATCAGTCAATCATCCTTTGAGGTGTAGTGATCGGGCGACTTCGACTTCCTATCCCTAGGCTCAAGGGAACCTGGTGTTGAGGGCGGGGGAGAGCGAAAGTATCAAAGGCTACGGGGTACGGAGTACATTGCTTCAGGAAGAATTAAAACTGTGGGAAGCAAGGATCTGGCCTTTTATGGCCAACTCCCCTTCCTTCCCTTGGAAACAGAGCCTCAGTTCATCGTTACACGGAGGAGAGAGATACACACGAAGGTGCATTAAGGTAACGTGCCAGTACCTAGGTACCTTACCTTACCTTATTGGTACAGATTAGGCGATAAGAAATCCGAGTTACCTTAGTCAGCTATCGCTTTTTCTGTGTGACGATGGCGATAGCGGGGTACAATTAAATTTATGGTGGGGTTCTTCTGTGTACCTTTAGCGTACCGGCGGAAATCAGAAGTATGAACACAACGATTAATACCGACGTCGGCCCAAAACTTTCGCTAGATGCGAAGATTTTACCGCCCGCGACAAGTTCTCCGACGATAACCTGTTCCGACAAAAAAAATATCTCCTTTGCCTCGCCTGAATTTTCTCGACAGCTTGCACGAGCAGGCTCAACAGTGTTGCTCAGACACTCCATTCCTTCTGCCGCCAGCACTCGTCTGCCGGTCTATAACAATCGCGCATCCCTCTGCGCTTCTTCGACGAGGACGCTGCCGTCTTCGACCATCCCTTGATCTTCGAACGCCACCTAGACTACTCGGATCGCAATGTGTGGAGTTTCCGCTATACTGGTGTGTCTCTACCGTTCTCTCCAGGCGTCTAGCCGGTGAAGCCTTTATGCGACGAGATGTCCCATCGATATCCAAGAGAGAACCTGCGCTAACTTCGTCATGTCAGTTGGGCGATTCCAAAGCCGACACGGCCGCTCTAGAACTCCACGAGAGTTGTTATTACCTCCAACATGCACGTATTACCCTCCACCTCGAGGTCATAAGGGGGGTTTCTCCCAGCAGCCGCCAACCTGCGAGAGAACGAACCTTGGCCAGACCCATGACCTCGCAAATATCCATGCCACCGTTTAGACCAATGCTGACGGCACCAATAGCGCGGACAAGATGCTGCGGGTATTGCCGTATGCCAAGGCGGAAGAGTCTACCAATGCAAGGGCCTGGGACTTGTCAGCGCCGTCTTTAATGAAGGGAGGCGAATCGTCGATTTGCCCGGCTGGTGCGGCGTGAGCCACCTCCGCTATCCTACAGCCGGCGGGACATATGCGTACGTCTAAAACCCCAAGCGGCAGTGTTCTGGGGAAACTAAGCAGACATCGGTGCCTTGTACTGACAACGTGGCATCAGGTCGGAAGCGCAACCATTCTTTGTCAACAGCCCCTTTGGGTTGTCGATGAGCGTCAACGGAAACCTCGTTAACAGCAAAGAGCTTCTCAAATTCCTGGACCGCGAAGCCCGCCGCCATGTCAATACCGACTCCGATTCGGAGCTTCTGTAAGTCAATCCGTTCCCTGAGTTGTGGGATTATCGCACTCTCTTGGTCAAGGAAAATTTGAGACGGTTATCATGTGGCTCGAGATAAGTCAGCGCTAACCCCGGGACCTCTAGGCTCAACGTCTTTGCCCATGCGCTTAATGAGCTGGGAAAATTCCGAGCTAACGTAGAAGACGTCTTCACCGCACTGCGCGAGGTGTACACTAGATGCCACGGCGCCTATGCCTGCACTGCCATGATTGCTGGCTTCGGCATTCTGGGATTCCGGTAAGTAGTAAGAGTGGTCTTAGTAGGCTTTTCGGCTCTCCGACTAACACTCTGCTTCGCAGTGACGAGAACGGTATCCGGCCCCTCTGCCTCGGATCTCGACCGTCTGCCACCCTCGAAGGCGCCACCGACTACTTCATGGCATCGGAATCCATCGCCCTGACGCAGCTGGGATTCGGCAACATCGTGGATATCTTGCCCGGTCAGGCTGTCTTCATCCAAAAAGGAGGCGTTCCGCAGTTCCGCCAGATCGTTCCAAGAAAATCGTACACCCCCGACATTTTCGAATTCGTGTATTTCAGCCGTCCCGACTCGCATATCGACGGCATCTCCGTGTACCGCAGCCGACAGAACATGGGGCGCATGCTAGCAAAGAAGTTGAGGGAGACTTTGGGCGAGCAAGTCATCAAGGACATCGACGTCAGTAAGTGCTTGCTCTCTCTGTCCAGTATACCATTTTTCGGGGGATCCGCTGGGATCTTCTTCACAGCCTGCGACGCGTATATTTCCTTCATGTCAGAGACGTTGACGTACTAACTTGACGTTCTTCAGTTATCCCCGTTCCAGAGGTAAGAAGCAGATCCTAAGCCACGCACCGAACGATGGAAGTGTTTGCGAATATTGACGGGAATACCACAACCAGACTAGCAACATCGCGGCAGCCGTACTAGCGACAGAACTCAACAAGCCGTTCTCGAGTGCCTGTATGTCTTCGTTCTCTTATTGTTTCTCGGACTCCTGAGCTAATATGACCTCACCTTAAAGTTATTAAGAATAGATACATCTTCCGGACGTTTATTCTGAGCGAGCAGAAAGCACGGCAGAAAAGCGTTCGTCGGAAGCTGTCGCCCATTGCCTCCGAATTCAAAGACAGAGTCGTTTGCATCGTGGATGATTCCATCGTGAGAGGAACAACCTCCCGCGAGATCGTACGTGTTATCCAAGCACACCCTTGAGCATGACACCCAACTAAACCCTACTTTTTCAGGTCCAAATGGCGAAGGAAGCTGGCGCCGTACGAGTCCTGTTCGTGTCCTGCAGTCCAGAGGTCACCCACCCACACGTTGTAAGTGACATGTCTGCCTGATCAAAGGCCTCCCATTCCACACACACACACACACACACAAACCTCATTCCTCGTGCCAGGAAGCCATCGCTAACCAACCGTCCTTCAGCACGGCATCGATCTCGCCGACCCATCCGGTAAGAACAGCTCCATGGACATAGGATGGACCGAACCCCCTTTTTGGAATCATACAAAGATACTGACTCAAAAATGCTTTAGAACTCGTCGCCCACGGCAAGACCCGCGAAGAAATAGCCCGCCGCCTCGACGTGGACGAAGTCGTCTACCAGAGCCTGGAAGACCTCAAGACCGCCTGCATAGAAGCCGGCACCGAAGACTGCGAGGTCAAGGACTTCGAGGTCGGCGTCTTCTGCGGCAAGTACCAGACCGTGGTGCCCGAGGGCTACTTCGAGCACCTGGGTCGCTCGCAGGGGAACAAGAAGAAGATCAACAAGACTTCGCTTTCGGCAGAGAAAGAGCAAGACGCTGCCAGGCCGGTCCTGGTCGCCGGCGGTGGGGCCGTGAATGTCGCGGGCCCGCGCGAGGGACAACAGGAGGCACATGCTGAGGAGGACGACGAAGAGCATGAGAGCGCAAACGGGCCGGCAAACCGAGAGGATATCAGGTACGTTTGTTGCCAGCTTTACGTTCGAGTTCTCGCACTTCACGACTGACCCATCTCGTACAGTCTCTACAACTTTGCGAACACATCCTAAGGCATTGCATGTTAGAAGATATCGGACTTTGATATGGTCGGCATCGCCGTGATGGATCCTCCATCATGAATACTGGACTTCTTCCATATTTCTTATTACAGGAGCCTTAATTTCTGCGTTTCTTTCTTCTTCTTCTTCTTCTTCTTCTTCTTTCTTCTGCCAGTGTTACCAGGGCGTAAAGAGATAGACATAGAGTTAAAACTCACTCGGGGATGTCTCTATATTTTGACAACCGATACTCTCGCTCGGCGCAGCGGACTGAGACAGGCTAGCATCAATAGCCCCTTTTCATTGTAAATGGCATAGGTACACTATGTACAGTCGCAAAACTTTCAACCTCAGCGGAACTTTTTAGAGACATGAAATCCGACGGGCATAGTATGCCCTGGGTATGACGCAGACACAAAGAGGAAATAGACGAAACGCCAACCACCATTCGCAGTCGTAGAAGTCCGGGGCACTGGGTCCCTACAGCGTACTAGAAATTATCCACAAGGGAAGATTGGACTCTCCCAGTTTTGCTCGCTGGCTAGGATTGCTGGCATGTAGAGAAAGGAAACCGGGCGGGGTTGATATATGCCGGGTGCACCGTGTGCCATGCCGGACGGATTAATTGATGTCCTCCGTGAACCGAGAGCCTGATCCTCTTGACCCTCTCGACACCGACCCGTCCTGAGAGTTGATCGACCGAACCGTAGGGTCGCGAGGCGGAGGTTCCAGCGGGCCCATGTCGTCCGAGAAAGGGTCCGCGAACGGATTCTCTTCGGTGACGACGCCGCGGGCTGGACCCGTTCGCATGATGGGCACACCGCTGACTGGTCTCATGGGAGCCCCGAGGGCCAGCCGGCTCGGAGCATCTGTGCCTGGGCTGCCACCGTCGAAGAATGAGCGCGATTCTCGATAGTAGACTGACTCCCCCCCGCTCATAGTGCTGGCGCGAGGGGCTGTGTAACCATCACCTCCGTTGAGGATGACGGGCGGCAGCTTTCTACCCGAAACGCGGTAGAAGCCGCGTTCGGCTTCGCCTTCGCCAACGACTCCGGCCTCGGTCGGTGGTGGGACGTTTCGGTTCCGGGAGATGCGTTTAGGACTAAAACCGGCCAGGGCGGCGCCCAGGCCCACAGACCGCTGAGTCATGCCGCCATCGCCAGCAGAGGGCCCGTCAGTGCCGGGGAGCAGGCCCCGGCTGCCGTTGGGGTGATTGGTACGTGGGCCACCACTAAGCATGATGCGACCATGTTTCCGTTTCCGCATCTTAAGGGCAAAGAGGACTAGGAACACCAAGACGGCAGCACCGGCTATGCTGCCCACCACGCTCCCCACAACTACGCCCGTTGCGGGGGCCGAGTCGTCACTCTCTTCGTTTTGGCTTGATGTCGTCAAAGGTGTCGGGTCAAAGCCCGGGGCTCCCTCGACGCCAGCTTCTTGCTCTGTTGACGCGCCCGTTTGGCTTGTCGAGGACGTAGTGGTAAAGCGCGTACGCGTAGTTGTGGTGGCGGTGCTCCCACTGCCAACGCTAGAGGTGGAGAACAATGCAGACGAGAACATGGACGAAGACGATGAGGCGAACGCAGTCTCAGCTTTCACCAGAAAGGAAGAACTATTGTTGAAGAGTGATGATGGGAGTAGACCTGGCCTGGTCGAGTTGCCGACGCTGCCGATAACTGGAAACGATGGCGACGTGTTGGAGGAGGGAGCGGGCGTCGGGATGCTATCATGACTAGAAACATAATCTTCAGACGGCACCGGGACGACCGAAGAAACGAACGGCGGTGAGGGAAGCAAGCCGGGTACAAGGTCAAGGCCTGGAACGTCGGAAGTCGGAATGGGAGGTATCTCAGGAACGAAGTCGGACTCCAGTTCAGGTTCGGTTACAGGGAAGATCTCGACCGGGTCAGACTCAGGCGTGGCTGCAGCGGGATCGGTACCGGAAAACAACGTTTCGGTCAGGCCGGAGACGGGGTCGACGACGATGGTCGCTGGGGGCGCATAATGGGTCTGAATCTCTATGGCGGATCCGGCGGAGTCGACGACCTGAACGACAGAGACGGTCTGCACGACGTGAGTAACAAATGTGTCCTCGATGTCGCGGGCATCCACGACATCAGGGACTGGCTCCTGGCGGATATGTAGTTCGCGGGAATGGGAGGACGGCGGAGAAGGGGCCTCGCGCTTCTTGTGCAAGTCCGAATGAGAGTGGGAGTGCCTTTCGTCGTTGTCGTTACTATTGTCGTTGTGGTTGTTGTTTTCGCTGCTGCTGCTGCTGCTGCTGCTGTGGGAGTTGGTAAAATGGCGGGCCTGAGCGAGTGAAGGCCCGCGGGGTGGTGTCATTATGTCTGATGACAGGAGCGGAATCTGGTTTGCCAAGAGCGTTATGGATGGCTATCTATGTGGGTGGCGGAGCACAGCGAGGACGACGCTACGGTCGTGATGCTCGTGTTCGGCGACACTGGTACCGAGATGAGGAAAGGAAGCAACACGGTGGTTGGTGGGGTGGTATCCGAGGTCGACGATCGCGAAATGTTATTCGATGTCGAGTGAGGCGAAGTCCATACTCGTCGTCACCGCATGGCGAGTTTTTGAACAGGATCGACTGCAGCAAAACCGGTTAAGAAAAGAAAGCAACTCATAAAAGAACACCCGTGTCGGATCGTCGGTCGTCTTTCAACGCGTACAAAGAAAGTAATCGTTCCGCTGATGTGTCAATCAATCAATGTTGCCTTTCCGTGTCGCTCCGAATGTTGTAATTATTCCTTCCAGTCTATCTCTCTTCGGACTCTGAATGATATGATAGGAGGAACGGCCGGCCGATGGCCTCGTGTTGTCTCGTGGCTATGTCTCGGGGTTTGCCCTCCTTTCTCTTGGGCAAGGCGGCCGTTGAGAGCGTGTGAGACGATGATTGTCGAGTCTCCCTTGCGTCGTGTACTTGTTAATACCGAGTGTGGGTGGCAGTGATCTACCGTAGAATGTTCGACGAAAGTACCTGGGCGGGGAAGCGAGAGCGAATGACAAGAAACAAAATGAGCGTCAAGAAATAAAGAGAGCGAACAGAAGGGAATGGAATGAAAGAACGAAGGAGGGGGGTTTGTGGTGGAGGGGAAGAAGAAGAAAAGAGTAAGAGGAACGAAAGGAAAAGAGGCACAAAGGTGTCCTGGCAATTTGCAGTGTTCTTTGGAAAGGATAATGCACTAATAATAATATCAGAATCTTACCTAGCTACCTTGGAGAACGGAGTAGAATACCTACAGGGCCCAGCTACGGGAACAAACACGAGATACAAGAAAGGGGTCCCCCCGTTGTGTTCGGACTCATCTCATGTGTTAGCTTGGAAAGGACGAGAGCAAGCAGGATCGGTCCAAAAGTTGGGGGTGGTGCAAGCACTCCTGCCAGGGTGCTCCTGCTCCTGCTGGTGGGTGTTCAGTCCTCAGCACTCACATGGAAGATTTCCATAATCTCGCTTGATACGGGCAGGTGTCGCCCAGGGGAGGCACACGCCAATCACAAGTTAAGGACGGGCAGGGGGCCGGAGGGCTTGGCAGGGACAGGGAAGGCAACCTGGAAGGTACACGTACAACGTAATAAATCCGGGAAGGTACGTTGTACGTTGTACTTCGGACGCCAAAGACACTTAGGTACCTTACGGATACCACTCCAGAGAAGAAGAAACCAGAGGACGAATCCATGACCGGCACTGAGTCGGAGAAGAGAAGGCCAAGCGACTAAGTGTATTAATCAGTAATAAATACCTTGGTGAGTTGTATAAGAGCGTTGGGAATAATTAGGTATGGAACGACAAACGAAACGACCGAGCGTTCGAACAAGGGAAGCAAACGATCGGGTAATTAATACGAAGTACATATACGAAGTAATTTCTCCATCCCCTCCAAGGCCCATAACAATAAGGTAGCTGGCCCCATCGTTACAGTGCCCAGTGACACGACACCACAAGCCGCAAGAAGATCATCATCTCGTGTTCCCTATCAGCAGCCACATAACACACAACATGCAACACGCAACGCGCCACGCCGCTTCAATACATATGTATACATCTATATAAGGGGAAGGTTGCTTTGCGCAGTGCGCATAGTCCACTTCATCGCACAAACAACACATATCGAGTGCGACAGCTGGCGAGGCTAGGATAGACGGAAATATGAAGGGCGATGTCCGTAGTACTTATACCTAATACTTTTAGTATTCTGTACGAGGTATTACGGGGTGCAGACAAGTCATTAATGATAGAACACGTACTGTACTCGGTGCTCACTCATAGAAGAAGGTCGTCAGTGCTACCGTAGTCTATCAGCAACTTCGTTCTAATGGCACGGCTCGGACGGATGCTATTCTTGTACGACACTCTGACTACCTTATGCTGTGCCTTGCCGTCTATGCCATCCGTCTGAAATGCGCCAAGGTACGGTACGTAGAAACGGGTGTAAAATGTTCATTACTAAGGCACGATGTAATTACGTATGCCCACATCACACTCTCTTCTCGTCCCTTGCAGCAAAAAATAAAATAAAAAAGAAGCCGAGTAGCACTCGGCTCAGGTACTGGGCAGCATTGCATATAATCTATGCTATCTACCTCTTACGCAACGATGCTATTCGATTAAGTGCCAGGTAGGTACCTTAATCATCCGTCTTCTGTACATAGTACTCCGTAATACACCGTATACAGCGTATGTACAACGTATACCTTACCTTACCTACCTAGATAGTGATTGTGCATTTATGGCCTGGCCTCATAGCCAGTACGGAGTAATACGGAGGGAGTACCTTAATTAGTACCCCTCCTCCTTCATCCCATGCTACGGGTTGGGCGTGCGTGCCTACTCTTAGGTACTCTACGAAGGGGTCAGGGCATAGCGTCATTCGGTCCAGAATGGCAGGAATCATCCATTCACCTACCTACCTTAGGTATAACGGCCTGAAATAAAGACACACGCTACTCAGACAAGGTAGAACAAGACTAAGGTAAGTATCGCGAACCGAAAGAATGGACGGATGTTCTGAAGGTGCAAGCAACATACCGGCCCTGCTCCGGCTAAACAATCCAACCAAGCTTACATCCAACGGGCATTGTCCATTGCCTTGATTCTCATGTCACGTTTCCCTTTCATTCTTAACCTCCTAGCCCCATTCATTCTCCTTCCTTTCACCATCACCTTGGCTCAACAAAATACCTAATCACCAAGTACGGAACACGAAATACACGGATTGTTGCCTAATGTTATGACATCGTAATGCCCAACCGTCCGGTGTCAGACACTGCTATGGGTCCGACCTCCGACCCCCCGGCTCCGTCTTGGAGTCCGTCGTCGCCGACATCTGCGTCTCCCACCCCAAGCTCCTCACGGCCGAGACCGCCCCTACCACCCCGCCGCTCTTCCAACTCCGGGGCTCATGCAACAACCTCCTTTTCCAATAACCATCTTGGACCATCTATGGCACCGGCCTCGGCATCATCAGGGTTTACTGCCGACCCTCGTAGCTCCTCCTCCCAGTCCCTGGGTTCCTCTTCCTTCGGCGACCATTCCAACACCGCCTCCCGACGCACCTTGCTTGTCGTCTATATCCATGGCTTTTATGGGAACGACCAATCTTTCCGCTCCTTCCCCGCGCATGTCCACAGCCATCTCCGAAATGCCCTGGCTCATTCCCATGTCGTACACACCAAGACCTATCCCCGCTACAAGACATACAGGGCTATCGAGGTAGCCCGTGACAACTTCAGCGCCTGGCTGGAGCCACATGAAGGCCCTACGACAGACGTGATTCTGGTAGGCCACTCCATGGGGGGCATCCTCGCCGGCGAGGTAGTCCTATCAGTATGTCTTTCCCTTTCTCTTGCCTTATAGCCTAAGTTATGAGAAGCTAACCCTGTTCTTGTAGCCCAACCGCCATCCGTACTCTTCCCATCCCTTCAGGCATCGTATCCTCGGCACTGTCTCTCTCGACTCCCCATTTCTGGGCCTCCACCCAGGTATCGTCGCATCTGGACTTGCTAGTCTCTTCCACCCCTCGCCCACCCCTTCCCCTTGGTCCGAAGAAGCGGCGGATATTTCTCCGACAGTCTCCAATACAGCCGCCTCGACTCCACTGAGCACCAACTCACCCCAGGTCAGCCAGCACAGTTCCATCGTTCCCGAATACGCAGACCAAGCGTCCTTCCTATCCCCAACCTCTTCACCATCTACGGAACCTCGCGACCCCCTCTTCAACCCTCCTTTCTTCAACGACAACGCCTTCAAAGAACGCCCTTTCCACAAACGACTGGCTCGTTTTGTGAAAAAGCACAGTTCTGAGGGCATCATAGGCGCCGCTCGCAACCATGTACTCTCGCATCTCGAGTACGGCGGTTGCCTGGCAGACTACCCGGCCCTTCACTCGCGCTACAACAAACTGCGCGCACTGGAGGACGTTGATGACCTCGCGGCCTTTCGCGACCACCCAAACGACCCGTCCGCTCAAAATTCTATGCCAGCCAGAGTCCGCTTTGTCAATTACTTTACCGTCAGCACTGGTAGACCCAAGCAGCCCCAGTCGGGAACCCAGTCGGGAACCCCGTCGCCGACCGACGAGAGACGTTCACCTGTAGACACGATCCTCCCCTCGCCGGCAGGGCAGACGGTCGATTTGCAACGGGGTACCTTGCGTGCCGAGGATTCCGAGGGTCTACCCAGGACTTCAGGTGATGGCGTTATAACCCCTAAAATCTCTCTCGACGCGCCGGATGCCCGGGAAAGCCTTCTGATTCTTGATCCCATGCCCATGGACCAACTGTCCTCGGGCGATGAACTCGCATACTCGCGAAATCAAGATGAGGGTCCCTTACATGTGTCGAGTAAGGCCGACAACTCCCCCGACGGACGAGTCCCTGCAAATGCACCACAGGAAGCGGCACAAGACTCTGGAGTTCTGGCCGCCTCCCTCGAGCGTGACCTGGATTTACCCCCAATCCCCGACCTGCCCGTCCAACCAACCCCTCCCGATTTAGACAGCTACGTCGACAAAGAGGCCCGCCGTCAAGCCGAGAAGGAAGCGAAGAAGGCCCAGAAAGGTTACGAGCAGGCGGTGAAACATCGTGACAAAGTACTTCGCCAACGACAGCAGCTCTTGGACAAACACCGCCGACGGACCGAGAAAGAAGCAGCTCGGCAAGCGAAGCAAGCCGCCAAGGACCGAGTGCGGGAGGAGAAGCAACTCGCTTGGGAGGAAAAGAAGAGCGGCCCGCAGGAGGAAAAAGAGCACGACACCGGGCCGCTCAGTCTGGGAGGCGCCCATGTGGATGGAGCATCATCATCAGTTGCCCTGTGTGACGGGCAAGCCACCGGCAACAGGCCTAAAGGCGAACGACGGGATAGTACTCATAGGGATGCAGACGCCCAGGAAATGGACCCGAGAAAACCCACACTTTCGCCGGTCAAGCGGAAGCCGCCCAAGGAGCGCAAGTTTTGTGTTCTCCCTCGCCGGGTCGGCGAAGGCCGCGATGAGACATGGGTGCGCGTCTTCATGGAAGGTGTCGACGAAGTGGGCGCGCACTGCGGCCTCTTCGAATCAGGCCCGCATTACGATCGCCTTGTCGGCGACGTGGCGCAGCGCATGGTCGACTGGGTGCAGGAGGATTTGAACTTGGCCGCTGTTCGTCGGCTGGCTGAAGAGGGCGACGGAGATATGGTTGGAGGTGAGAAGTAGAGGAATCTTTAATGCGGATGAAGGAAGTACAAGGCTCTACGGGAGTGTGGCGGTCCCTTGGGTCAACGCTTCAACGCTTGTCCCGTGCTAGATAGATATGGAATAGAGAATTGACGCTGAGTAGAGTACATCGCATGGCATTCGTCTATAAGTGCGACAGCGTGGGCACTACGACTGGAAGTTCCAATTGCTTTGTATTAGTAGACAAAGATCTACAAGAGAGGCATCTGCGAGTCTCTCTCCAACGCTACGGTCTTTCATTTGGGACCGTGTATTTTTTTCTCCTTTCATACTACCAGCAACGGGTTTCTGCGTTCTGGCTTCAACATACTAATATCAGGTGGTGGGTTCCGGGGTCGGCCCAGCGCGATCGTCAAGAATACCTTTCTTGCCCCGCATCCTATGTCCTCTCTCCTCCGTCCGGTATGTTCATCATCCGCCATGCCATGCTTTACCGACCTTGTTTCCCCCCTTTCCTATGCTGTAAATTTTTTTTGTTCTTCTGGGTGGCATGGGCTCATCGGTCACGATGGAAGCCTCAGTAGCCAAAACGGATGTTCCTCCCTTGCCCCCAACGCCGTGCTTATACAGGGAAAACGAAAAAAAGAAAAAAAGTCATAAAGTGAGTAAAAAAGAAGAAAAGAAACAGAAAACAAAAAGGGGAGAACGTCGGTGGACTTCCGTGTTTCTTGTCCAAGCGTCTCATCATATACTATGCAGATTCTTTTGGCGGACTGTGTGCGCGTGATGATCAATAGCGATAAAACGAAGCGAACATCGATGGTGCGTCAGAGCGCATGTGCAAGTCGGCGCCGTCCCGAAGCGTTGAGGAACAGAAGAATTGGACCGTGGACCCGAGGATTCAAGACTATCGGGGTTGAGCCAAGGGTGACATCTGGTTCCTCGGAGCAGCCTTTCGGCCACGACGGCTCGCCTTGGGCGCACGACGACCGTTTCGGGGAGCACCCTCTCGGGATGCTGGCGCCTGGACGGCAATCGTGTCGGGAGTCTGTTTCCGGCGGACAGTCTCCTGCCGACCGGTATTGAGTATGACACGGGGGCCGGGTTTACGAGAACCGTCCGTCTCAGCGCTGAAGGCAATGCCGGCGGTCTGGGGACTAGCTGGGTCACCCTATACCCCTATTCCCGAACCGTAGGCTTGCCGCGGCGTTCCGTTCTGCGGGAATTGCGGAGTGCCAGCGCTCTTTAAAAAACAGGGTCAGCCCACAAACATCACGTTGCAGAAGAATCCGAAGCCCTACCTTCTTTTGGCGTTTCTGGCCTCCCCGATCATCGCCGTCTCCAGTCAAGTAGCCGTCATCGGGGAAGCCTTCGCCATATCCCTCGAAAGAGCTGTCCCCATACCCCCTCTTCTTGGTATTCCGCTGGGGACGAGGGACGCCCTGGGGTTGCTGCTGCGGTTTGGCAGCTGTCAGCCCAGGAGTGCCAATCGGCGTGCCCGGAGCGGTAGCCTTTCCGAAGGCATTTTTCGTCGGATCCGCAGGAGCAGCAATGTCACCGAGGACGGTAGTATCCCACTGCTTAGCGGGGATGGGTCCCTTGGCCATGGCGACGGCCCTGTTAAGACTGGCCTTGACACTCGGCGTCAACCCCGCCGTGAGATGGCTCCGGCCGTGCCAGAACTCCGCGTCGTGAATCGTTGCAATCTTTCCGAATCCGAAGTACTCTTCCTTTTTGCTCTTCTCCTTCTTCTGGCCATTCGAGTCGAACGCATCGTCCTGCTCAGAGCTCTCGTCGACGTCCTGTTTGGGGTCTTCCCACGGTTGCTTGACGGAATCAAACCTGCCCATGACGCCCAGGCGCTTCATGTGACCCTTGTATGTCTTTCGCAAAGCGTTCTTCTCTCCATCGGGCTTCTCTCGTGCCACTTCGGCGGCAATACCTGTCAAGTCGAACATCTCAAAAAGATCCTCAGTGATCTGGGGAAATCTCTGGCGGCGATGTTCTGCGCAGCTCAATGTTAACCCAATTCCGGTAAAAGAAGGATTACCTAGGTCAAAGGGAGAAAAGATGGGCATGCAGATAATTAAAAATAGCAGCAGGAGGGGAGACGGGACGCGAAGGGAGCCTTACGAGTCTGGCAAAGTAGGTATTTTTCGCCGACATCCAGATGGATGTCTTCAATACCGATTCTGCTGTCCTCGATATGGGCCTTCTTATGCTCCCTATCTCCAACATCGTCGATCGAACGCTTGCGCTTATGGGGCGTATCTTCGCCCATGGCGAAGTCTTGCGACATATCGGAAGGATGAGTCGTGCTGCCGTTTACGCTATGAGCGGGAGTCGGAAGATTGGTGGTGATGGAAGTCAGAGTGGAATTCATGCTCGAGGCAAGATCGGAGGTGCCGGGTGACAACTGTGAGGGACTCTGAGGAGTTTGAGGGTGGAACGACATGTTGGCGTTGAAAGAAACAGCCTGTAGTTGGTTCCAAGGGAGGGAAGGAACGTCGCGATCGTGCGGTCGGAAGAGGGAGAAAATGATCGAGGGCTTAAGGAATGGGTAGAGGGATGTGAAGTCGCTTGCCGGGACCCAAGGACAGGAAAGAGCGCAACTTCCGGAAGTGAGGAGATGGGCCCTTGCCGACCGTACAACCGTACAACCAAATGGCCCAAGAAAAGTTCGGCAGAATTGGCTTCGACGAAGATGATGCGAGAGAAAGCGACCGGCGGAATGCAAGGATGAGGGAGAAGGCTGATGGCGGGTCGCGCCAAACCGCCGACCGGGTTCACGTTTCCCAGGAGAGCGTCATGCAATCTCTGCTCCGTCTGGCCGCGCGAACCCCGTCGATACTATGATTTCGCTAAGATAAGGATGCAAATTCGTCGTAGGGTTAAAAACTCTGAGGGTCGAGAATCGTCGCTGTCGATGTGCTCGTTGGTTCTCCGCGGGCGGAAGGTCGAGGTTGTTGATCTAGGGTCGGTTGGAAGAGGAGGAGATGATTGAGAGTGAAGTGTGAAGTCCGCGGCCAGAGTAGGAAGATCTTGGATCTGGGTTCGTGCGGAACAATGGGTCGGGCTACAGTAGGTACCTACCTTACCAAGGTTTTGCCAGACGTACTGTGGAAGGCAAGGCGGTGGGTTCCGGGCGAAACTGGGCAAGCTAGGTAGGCACCGTCAAGATAAGGTAGCAATATGGTTGGCTCAGGCAGGAGCGAGGCCCATTGGTAGTCCAAACCTCGCTTAAAAAGTCTAATAGTCGGAACTGTATACTGTACAATATCTTATAATATACACTGTGTCCACATCAAGCGATTAGTCAGAACTTGGCACAATGTGGGCGAATGTTCAAGTTCACTCCACTTATCTGTCCGGAGTACGGTGATACTTAATACGCCGTGTGCCTTCTTTCCAAGGAAGAGCGCACGGTCATACATCACGTGACGCTCCTCAGTTCTCTTTTTCAATGGAGACCTTTGTTCGTTTTCCATTTTTCTTTCCCTTTTCCTTCATATCACAAAGACCACCACGCATTTCAATCATATCGCCAGCTACCCTTTGGCTGTTTTTGCACCATCTCCTAGTTGCTGACGATTTAATCGTGTGTGTCGAGATTAATGATTAAACACCCTTGTTTAAAAACAATCATCACGAGGGCCCCCTGTGTGGCTACCATGACACGATGATCACCTGAAACAAGTTTGGACATGTCGATTCCACATATGAGGGAGAAGTAATTCTTTATATTATATTTGGTGGCTATGATTACATGTCTGTGTAAATTTCGGAGCATGGCTTTGTCTAAGGATACAGGCGAATCTTTTTTCTTCTTCCTTTTTTTGGTCTTCAAATGTAGTAGGTGGGTCATCCATTTTCTTAGGTCTTTCATTTTGTCCTAGCGAGGCTGTGATGATCAGTTTCTGGTAAACCGATTCTCAGCCACGGTCTTCGAGACCTACTTTGTTGAATGTGCAGGGTTAGGCGCTCGAACCTTGAATCCGATTTGGTTGAGAATGGAGAGAAATGGCAATATCTGAGCCACTTGGGCACTGTGAAACCGAGCCGAAAACGACTCAAAGTCGTGCCTGGGGAACGTCGAGTTTGACTGACATCGATCTTGTACGAATAGATCCCATCGCATACCCTCTGTTCCGTTCGTTCCTTCAGTACGGCTCGACCTTGACTGGTCGAATATCATCATACACTGGTATTTATATTTTTATATATTTGCATGCTTCATCAAGTCTAGGCCATGATCAGGCAGACCCTCGCTATGTTTCCCATCATTCCAAAGGTCATGAACCACATCATCTTCCCGTAACGCCCACCCCATTATGCCGCGTTCCTGTATACTGTGCTTCCCTGGTTCCTGAAGCTGATAACGTCCCTCCTCTGCATGATCATGAGCGTCTTGTTCAGAGCCTGCTCACTATACCCTTTCTGCTCGACCATCTCGCGCCTGAGTTTCGCCAACGACGTACCCCAACCGACAGGCAGTCGTCGTTTGAGCTCGGCCTCCAGGCGGTTGACTTCCTCAATCAGCTCCCTGCTGCCTTGGTTGCTGCCCTGGTTGACGGCGTCCATGGTGGAGCACAAGAAGAGCCGGATGGCCTCGTCGACGTGCTCCTCGGTGGCGACAGGGGAGAGTGTGAGCTTGGCAAGCGCCTCGGTGATACGCACGATGGCCTCCAGCTGGCGGATGGTAATGGGAATCGATGACCTAGCGTTCGCCTCCATCTCAGCGGCGTGGACTTGTCTCCGGATGGAGACGAAATGGGACGAGAGCTTCTCGGCTGCCTCGGGGCTAAGTCGAGGTGCCATGCGACTGTAAAGGGGAGGGAGGGTTAGGAGTCAGCGCTGGCATACGAATGTTGGACAGATGTGTGGGTGTGGGCTTCCCTGGCACTTACGATCTGCAGTAGCTCATATACCGCTTCATCTTCTCCACGGGAATCTCTGCTTCCACCTGCTCTTCAACACCCCGTCCACCCATATGGATCCCCATGACGTGCCTGGCCATTTTCTCGTCCTTCTCTCTACTGTGATGATCTCTGACGATGAAAATCATGTCGAATCGGGACAAGATGGTGGTCTGGAAGTCAATGTTCTCCCCGGGCGTCTTCATATCGTCGTAACGACCGAAGATGGGGTTAGCAGCAGCGAGTACAGATGTCCTCGCGTTGAGGATGGTTGTGATGCCAGCCTTGGCAATGGAGATGGTCTGCTGTTCCATAGCTTCGTGAATAGCCACTCGGTCCTCATCACGCATCTTGTCGAACTCGTCGATACACACAACGCCGCCGTCGGCCAGCACCATCGCACCACCTTCGAGATAGAACTCGCGGGTGCTCTGGTCCCTGTGGACCGAAGCTGTCAGACCAGCGGCCGACGAACCCTTTCCGGACGTGTAGATGGCTATTGGGGCGCACTTCTCGACGAATTTGAGAAGTTGCGACTTGGCGGTACCCGGATCACCGAGCAGGAGAACGTTGATATCACCACGAAGCCTCATGCCGTCGGGCAAGATCTTCTTGGTACCGCCGAGCAGAAGGCAAAGGATGGCCTTTTTGATATCCCGATTGCCGTAGATGGACGGGGCGATGCAGTCGGCCAAGATATTGTACAGGTCCGGCCTTCGGCTCATCTCGAGGAATTCTTGCTCCTCTTCATCCGTGAATATGGCGTGCCCGCGTGCTGTCTTGTCGAGGTCTGTCTGAACGCCCATCGCCCTCAGATAGGAGGTTCGGATAGCAACGGCGCCGCCGGTGGCCGAGTTCCTGGATCCCTTATGCTGGTAGATCGACATGATGCCCGTGATGGTGCATCTCGAACCCGGAATGACGCGATTGGTCAGGTAGCGGTCAGCGGAGACGAGCACATGCCTAGGCAGTTCGCCCACTGGCACCATATCGGGGGCCTCTTGTAGCTTGATGATCTGTTGGTCGACGAATCTGGATCGTTCGTGCATGATAAAGTAGGGGTCGAGGGGGCAGTTGGGCGTCGGATCGTTCGGTATCCTCTGTCGACCGCATTGCCTCGGTAGCGTCACACCGCTGAATCCGCCGAAGACGGGGATGGTCGTTGAATGCTGGCAGTTCCGGCACTGGGCCACGACCTCGGTGGCTTTAGAGGATATAACAGAGGCGCCGATGACGATGCCGGGCGTCCTGACTAGACGTCCGATAGTCATGGAATCGAGATTCCGAATAGAGACCTCCTCGGCGTTCGAGTGTAGTAGAAGCTGGTGCTGAGGCAGGTCGACTTTGCGTTCGTGGGGAAAGATGATTCGGTGTGTGCATTTCTTCAGGGCCGCCTCGAACTACGACAAATGATCTTGTAAGCGACGGGAGACAGACAGTAAGACTGGAAATTCCGCGATTCAACGAACCAGAGGTACAACTTCAGCCGGCTCCGATACCAGCCGATGAGCAAGCTCTTCGTTGTAGTTGATGAGATCGTTGACGTCGACATCGCAGTAGTACTTTTTGAGGAGCGCATTCTCTTGCAATTGGACTCTGTGCCGACAGTCAGGAAGGCAGGTTCCCACAAACAGAAGAAACAGGGCCACGACAACACACCTATAAACGTAGTCATTGCCGTGTCTAAAGTCGAGAATGAAGTTTTCCAGTTGGGTCTGCAACTGCAAGCGGGTGTCCTCGTTCTGGCCGACGCTCGGCTCGTAGACGTGACTCGAGTACACTGATTGCCGGTCCATGGCGGCAGTTACTCGATTCTCTCAAGGAGTTTTTCTTGGAAACGATTCCGGTTCGGTGAGGGGTATCGAATTGGGGAGGGACGTCGCAGGGTGTTTGGATTAAGGCACAGAAGCTCAGGCACCACAAAGAGGTGTGTGGGAGAAATTGCACCGCGAAATGGAGCAACGAGCCCCTGACGCGACGCGTTCCCGGGCCTGTTAAAGTGGTTGCAGCAAAAGACGATCCAGTAAGCGCTAGACCTATTCGGGCCATAACCGTTATCAGGGGCGCCAAGACAGACTCATCCGATTGGGAGCTCCAATGATTAGATAATCCTGCCTGAATTTCGGTGAAAACGGCTATTCTTCGGGTGCCTTGAATACCTTAGGTAAGAAACAATAAGGGACGTACAGATCCAGACGTACAGAGGCGTAGATCTGTCTCTTGACAGCTTCACGATTTCGGCCATAATACTAATTAAGCTGTCTTTCCCGGCATTTATGGTCGCAAAATGCACAAACATACACGCCCATTGTTTCTCGATTTTCTCCGAAGCGGTTAATTGCTTCTTCTAAAGCTTCCACAAGCACCGATACGACCCCCGTTTAGCGATGATATCACGATAGTTTGGCGACACAGCCGTCAACTCCTAGTCGGCTTCTGTCTTCTCGTTGGTCTTATTGCTGTACGACAAATCCGTCACGTTGTCCGGCCTGCCCGGAGGCTGGATGACACCGCTATTATCCTCAGTCCATAATGTTCTCTCATTCAGCTGCTCGGATGTCGATGGACTCCTTCAATCCCACTTCTCCTCCGGCCTCTCGCTCCGAGCACTCTATCCACAGGTCGGCACCGACTTCCCAACCCATATCCCGCCCCACGGAACTCGAGACTGACAAAAGTAGTAGGCCGGGAACAGGTTACCTTCACAGAAGGCGTGGTTCGAATGCTAGCTCTATACACTCCATCGGTGGCACGCTCGATACATCATCAGCAGGCCGGTCGCATTCGGTGGTCGAGTCGGGTCAAAATGGTATGTCGGCGCATAATTGCATTATGTCTTATACAAAGAGTTCGTTTCGGCCTAGTGATTAACCCAATTCCAGCTATATCGACTCTTCTACAACCCCCGATAGTTCGAACCGGCCTCGTCCCCCACACATCTGCTCCGGCTTCGAGCGCCCATAAACCCCCTTCTTCCCGCGATATCCCGCCCGTTACTCTGACCAACATTACTCACGTCGATCCGGCCGAATTCAAACCATACCTATCACAAGTCGGGGCCTTGTACGAACAGCTTCGACGAGTCAAGGAAAACGAAGATGACGTTTCTACCATCCGTCGAGGTAACAAGGCCGACGATTACTTTGAGCACCCCGATGAAGCCCATCTAAGACCGGGGGCTCGCCCGCCTTTCCTCACGCGCAGGTCGTCCATCACGTCACTATCGTCTATATCCTCTCTCGACGCCGCAAGCATTCGGAAATCATCATCGAGTACAAGCCGGCGGGGGCCACAGGGACCTCCCCCCCTCTCCACTATCCCCAACGTGTACTTTGACGCGGATTTTCATTTGGAAAACCCGAGGACGTTCGACGTCGTAAGCGAGCGCTCTGAAGTCGTTCGGCCTCCACCAGGCAGCACCGATGACAAGGGGGAAAAGAGTGCGCCGAATGGCAGTGCGGCGGCTCCCAGGAAGGCCTTAGCGACCAACGCAATACTGCAAGAGAAGCTATCCTGGTACATGGACACGATCGAAATGCACTTGATCAACTCCATCTCCACAGCCTCAACAACGTTCTTCACGGCCCTGGGTTCCTTGAGGGAGCTGCACTCCGAAGCAAGTGATTCGGTGGAGAGGATCAAGACGTTGCGGAAAGAGTTAGCAGCTCTCGACCGAGAAATTGCACAGACTGGCTTGGATATGATCCAAAAGCGTCGACGCCGCGAGAATATCCAGCAGCTGAATGATGCCGTGCTCCAGCTACGACATATCGTCGAGGCGGTGAAGAAATGCGAGAGCCTAGTCGATTCGGGACAGGTCGAAGAAGCGCTTAACGGCATTGACTCCTTGGAGCTACTTATTGCGGGTGAGCTCCGGGAGGATGACCCTGCGGCTGTCACAACGCCGGCTCTTCGGGCTATATGCCTGCGAGATTTGAGAGGGGCCACAGCACTGCAAGGCGTGAACGACGACCTGAACTCTCTTCGGTTCCGCCTTGGCAAAGCGTACGAGTCGAAGTTTGTGAATGCACTACTGGATGACCTTCGCCGGCATCTCGAAGCTGTCAAGCAGCAAGAAGTGCTCCTGCGGTGGAGTAGTTCCTCCATGCGAGCTAGGGGTGGACATTCGAGGGAGCCCTCGGTATTTCCCAGCTACCTGGCCTCGACCGACGAGCTCAAGAAAACCATACGTCCCTACCTGGTCGGACTGCACCGCGCGCAGCACATAGCGACAGCCACCAGCGCATATCGCGAGGCCGTCCTGCGCGAGGTCCGGAACATCATTCGGCGACCATTACCGAGCTCCGCCGATGATGACAACGAGTCCATGATGTCCGTCTCGACGACGAGTGGCGGGCGGAACTTGTCGAGCAAGGAGAAATCTTCTATCCTCGCACGAAACCTACGGGCTCTGGATCCGAAGGACGCGGAAGATCTGCTCCAATCCGCGTACATCGGCGTCACGGAGACGCTGCGTCGGCTCACGACCCAGGTTAAGGTTCTTTTGGACGTTGCGAGCTCCTTGTCGGCGGACCCCCTCGGCGACAGCGGTACAAAGTCGCCGCCCATTCGATCGCCGTTGTCAAGCCCCAAGCCGGAACGACAACAAGACGGATCCATCTTTGAGATACAAGAGGAGATTCACAAGGCCATGGACGTCGCGAATCTGCTTGGCCAGGCTGTCGACATTGCACAGGACAAGATCGTCAAGGTCCTCAAGGTCCGGGCCGACCAGAGCACGCACTTGCCTCTTGTATGGTTTTTGCGATACTTTACGCTGAATCTGTACTTTGCAAACGAATGCGAAGCCATCTCGGGTCGCAGCGGCACGTCTCTCAAAACGCTGGTCAACGGGCACATCAAGGAGTTTGTACAGTACCATGGAGATGCGGAGAAGCAGAACCTCGCTCAGAACATGGAAACGGATCAATGGGGCGCCAAAGACTTCACGGAAAAGGATGCGGCCCTCTTGAATGAGGTGGTGGAGAGCAGCACGCGAGATGCCCCATCCTGGTCCGAGGGAAGCAACATTTGGATCGAGTACTCGCCAGAGGATGAGGAGACGGCAGACGCGGCTGCTCAGGCGAAACCCGAAACGAATGGAACGAGCAGGGAGAAGACGAGGACGGCCGTGGTGGAAGGCGAGAGCTTCATCTTGCCCAACTCGGCCATTCTCTGCCTGGAAGGCATCACGCATTTCCTGCACCTCATCAAGGGGATCCCCTCCATGACCACCGACGTGGCGACGTCTCTCATTGCATACCTTCATCTTTTCAATTCACGGTGCACACAACTCATCCTCGGTGCCGGCGCAACGCGGTCGGCTGGTCTGAAGAACATCACCACGCGGCACTTGGCCCTCGCGGCGCAGGCACTGGCCCTCATCGTCACGTTGATCCCGCATATACGGGAGTTCGTCCGGAGGCACGCAGGATCCGGGGCCGGCGTATCCAACTTGATGGGCGAGTTCGACAAGGTGCGTAGGCTGTTCCAGGAACACCAGAACAGCATTTTCGACAAGCTTGTCGACATCATGGGCGGTCGCGTGGCGTACCATTCCAAGGCGATCAAGGCCATCGATTGGGACGGCGACGGCGCCCAGTCGGTCCACCCGTACATGGAAGCGTTGGTCAAGGAAACGGCGACGCTGCACAGGGTGCTCAGCAAGCATGTTCCCGAGAGCTCGGTCCAGATGGTCATGGTCCCCGTGTTCGCAAGCTACAAGGAACAGTTGGGCAAGGTCTTCGACGCGGCCGACCCCAAGACGGAAGCGGGCCGGCAAAGGTAAGAGACATTCCCTCCGCAAACGATGCCCCCCCCCTTTCTCTCCCCGAAACCCGAGACTGAGACTAACGAATTTCGGGGTGTGTCTAGCATGCGCCGCGACGTCGAATTCTTCACGACCAAACTCGCCGACCTACAGGGCTTTGGGACGACGGGCGAGCACCTCATGAGTATCGTCGACGGGAAGACGGTTGAGGCTCCCGCGCAGCCGTCACCGTCTACCCCACCCGCTACTGACGCATCACAGCCCGTCGAAGGAGAGGAGGATACAGCCAACAAAGGCGAACCTGAAAAGAGCGATGCCAAGGACTCGGGGCAAGAGGGCAAGTCTTCGCCGCCACCCGATGAGACTACCAACGACAAGTAGATGGGACCCAAACCAGAGGGGGAGATGACGAAAACGAAGAAGATTAATCTCAAGGCTTCAATGTCAAGCACGGAGTTGGGAGCATTCTACATCCGCGGCGGGAGACTAGCTATTGCGGCTCCCCTGCGCTATAATCAGCCATGTTTGATCTGTCTCTGTTTACTTTAATGAAGCAGCTAGCCTTTGTGCCGACTTTTTGACATGTTATATAACACGTGAGGACAGAAGACAGATGATCTTACACACCTTCACAACACTCGCTCTTTTGAAGCCTCGTTAACTCCCGACCCTTTGCTCTGCTCCATCTTTTGCTTCGGGACATCCTACCGAGACCAAACGTGCTATAATAGCCACCCAAGTGTTCGGAATCCCTGGGTTGCCTTTCATCGGACAGAGAATCCTTCGAAACCCGAACTGTGACACAAATTAAGCCACATGACTAGACAAAGAACCCCTATTTATAGCAAAGGGGCCCGAATTGTCACAGGGCTTCGTGCAGGTAGCCGTGGAACTTGTCTTTGCCGGGAAGGGTCAAAAGAAGCGAAAGTCGGGGTGCACCCGATGAAGACGGGACACACGAGGGCAATATGGAGTTCATACCAAGTCAGACACTGTCAAGGAAACAAACGGAGAGGTAATCATGGTGAAACAATCGGAATATTACTTTCCGATACAATAAATGAACTCGGTAGCCAGGAAGAGGCTGACCTATGCCAACTTGAAAATATCCCCGGTGATCTCCAATCTTCGAGAGACTACAAGATCTCAGCCGGGGTAAGCGAATGTACGAATCGAAGTATAAAATGACAAAAACGCCGCTCTATCGAGACCCATAACAGTGGTTTTATATAGCCATCCCGTTCCCCGTTACGGTGATCCCATGATTCCCATTTCCATCGTTCCCCAGACCCCTCGGGGAAGAAACGTTTTCCGTGTTTGTTGTAGGTTTCCGGTCACAAGGGGCATATATATATATATCCTGCCAGACAGTTGTGGTCTGTCATCTTGTTGGCGGCTCATAAATCGTAACAATAAATGGCCTCATAAAATCGTAGTAGCGTTCTACGCTTGCTTTTGGTGTGTTGGACGAGAAACGAGAGACGACAGGTGTCAAATCCGCCCATTCTTTTTGGTGTCCCAAGGGGAGCCAGAAAAGGAGGGTGTGTGTGTGATTTGACTCCAGCTTAGAACTTGCCAAGGACAAAGTCACGCTTGACAGACTTCGCCTTGTGGCTCTTGAGGGGGCTGACGCCGGAGCCGAGGGTGCAGACGAGGTCGGTCTCGGGGGTGACCTTGGTCTGAACGTCGTCCCAGACGTAGTAGGCATTGTTGCAAGGGAAGTCTTGGCAGCCGGACGACGGGTCCTGGGACTCGACGGGGTACATCTCCTTGACGCCGTCCTTGTCGTTGGGGTCGACGATGGCGGAGACGTCGAAGTAGGTCAAGTCGTTCCAGCCCTGGAAGGCGACCTCGCCCAGCATGCCGGGGACATTGGGCTTGCCGGCCGAGACGGAGTACCAGTTTCCGATCCAGCCCTCGGGGATCTTGGTGGTGATGTTGTCGCCGCCGGCGATCTTGACGCTGTCGATCTCCTCGTGGCCCTCGCTGGGGGTGAAGTAGACGGTCCGCTCTGTGTCGTCTAGGGAAATGAAGGTGACGGTGTTGGTCAACTTGACGGCAGCCGCGAGAGCGGCAAAGCCGAGGAGGGACAGAGTCTGGGTGAACTTCATCTTGAAAGACTGCAAGTGGAACAGACGGTTGGTGGCCAAAGAGTGTCTGAAGGAACGGTGTAAGACGAAAGTCTTCGTGGCAAGGAGAGAAACGTAGAAACGGACCAAGCCGTTATGCTGAGGCTTCAAAAAGGAATGAAGTGCTTCGAAGAGCTTGAAGGGAAGGAAAGGAATCAGGTCAAGGACCAGGCAAAGGATTGTACACGTGTAATGATAGATACGGATAGATTATCGGAACGAGATGTGACCGGTCGTGGCTTGAGATGAGGGATCTTTATACCCCCGGATGGGTGGCTACAAGATCGGAGTCGAGACCTGAAGATATGATATGGAGGGCATGAGATGGGGCTGGGAGACGTGCCCGGGACGAGGGAAGATCCTTGACAAGGCCCCATCTCTATGACCTTGGAACGGATCTGGTCATGACTAGTAATTAGATGGTACCTGGATTCGTGCATAACCGGAGGGCTTCAGGTCCAGAGACCACACGGAGAATGGACAACGGAGGGGCCGGGCCCACACCACCATCCACACCACCATCCACACCATCCACACCACCATCCGCATTGTTCGTTGCTTCGTATGGTCGTAGGTGGAGGGACGTCTTCTCTTTGTTCCTCCGACTCCGAGTTTAACCGACTGCTACGACTGCCTCAGCCCAACTTGAGGCGCCACCGGCATACAGTACGTGCCATTACTTTTGCGGTACTGGCTGCTGAATGGTGCAGGACGACTCGGGGAGGTGACGTAGGTGTTACAACTTACGCCGCCGAGTATGGAGCGGTGTACCTTATACGGTGGAGGTAAGGTAAAGTCCAGAGACATAGACCCAGCCCAGCTGGTATTGTTTCTTTCTTCCTCCAGCATCCAATGCTCTTCGGGTGTTGGTGGCCTCTGTGCCTGAGCACATACGAAGTAGAGTAGGCGGAGATGGGCATCTCGCTGTGTCGCTTTTCGTGGTTGATTGATATTGTCCGTTCACCCCGCTACGTATGGGACGAAGAGTCAGTTATGAGTGGAAGTTGAGTCAAGCATGGCTTGAACGGGTAAGGGGTTGGTTGCCCTCTCGGGCTCGATTCCCGAAGCAGAAATATTGAGGGCCCTGCCACGTACCCGCCAGGCACCCCATATACCAGAACAGACGGGGCCCGCCGTGAGGTGTTGTTGCGAAAATATCATCACCAAAACATCCAATGAGGATCTCGAAGAGAAGGGGGGGGGAGGAAAAAGAGGCGGCAGTTTGGGCTGGAGTGTGGTGGGGTTGTGGTGGATGTGGTGGATGTGGTGGAAGTCTTGTCATGGCCTGGAACTTGGACGTTGGGACCTTGAGATGATGAAAAGTGTGAATAAGCTTCCTTCACGGAGCCAGCCGTATGGGTTTGTTTGAACACGCATTCGCAGGTGCCGCGACCTATTGGTTGCTCTTCCCTCGGAACAAAACTTGATTGGTGGAGAAGAGGACGCTTGTACCTGGTTCCTGACAGGAATTCCGCGTGGCACACCGTGACAGGGCTTTTGTGGCTTCTTGGTGGCGGCGGGGCTTATTAACTCAAGCTCGTTTTCGCTACATTGAACACAGAGGAACGGAATACGACTACAAGAATAGTAATTATCCGTATTTTCTCAAAAGGAGGCGGAGTAATTACTTGATGAGAAGTCAACCACGTCAAAGAATCCAAGACAAAGGCGTTCGGGTGCCGTTATTCCTCTTGCTGGTCCTCGAACTCGAACAAAGTTGGGACGAATGAGATGGTACCTAAGGTAATAAGGAACAAAAAAAAGTAGACAGCGTCCAAACATCGGGTCATCGAGATAACCAATGTACCTATGCCGAGTGTGGGTCGCACAGTGGGTATATGTGTACTTCCTACACGTGTACTGCACTTTCTAGACCACCCAAGCAAGGTACGGTACGTTGTAAGCAGATCCTGCAGGTTGAGGTTGCAGGTTCCTATCGTCTGGCCCTGTAAGGTCAAACGAAATAACCTGAGAATCCCGACTGTCTTTTGATAAGAAGTGCAGAATAATACTCCGTTAAGGCCTGAGGTACTTACTTGACTCGCTGACCGACTCGGTACAAGTGTACAAATACGATGACCACATTGAGATATACCTCACCAAAGCAATAGGAGGACAAAGAACGAACAGGATAAATACCTAGCGCGCCATCCATCATGCTTCGGTACACGTGTAATACCCAAGGTATGTGATGTGAACGAGTCGGGAAAAAAATAGAAGAGTTCTCTTGGGTACGAAGGTATAAAATAGAATAGTCGTGAAGTCATTGTTGACTTTTTGTCGCCATTATTAGGTCTCAGTACTCCCTCCGTACACTAAACTTACACGACGTCTTCCGTCGGTGTCCTAAAAGCATACATACACCCCACATATAACGCTATTACGAATCAAAGGGAGGTTCGGCACCTGACCCGGATACTTGTTCCTTCCTTTATTATTATACGAACTATGCATTTATTAACTTTTCTAAGCGCCAACGAATATTATGCTATTTTCGTGTATGTTACCGTGGCTCTCTACCCGACGCAAAAAAATATGTTTTGTGAGAGGGTTAGGGTACGAGGGACATCGATTGTCCAGAAACAGTATAGCACTATTAGGTACATGGTTACATAATTCGGTGGCTAGATCGGGAACGGCTCCATACTGTGTTGATTGTAGCATGATCCGTCTCAGTTTTCGCCTTAGCTGAAGAAACTCTTTCAAACCTCCTGAGTTGGGGTGGTTTTTGGTGTCCCCAATTTTGTTTACAAAGTTAGTGCTGATATACTATAGTCGACACGGTATTAAGAGCTCATCTGCACTGTACAACTATCTCCGCACTAAAATTCTGTTCGGAACCTTGGCAAGATTTTACCCTAGGTACTGCGAAGTAATTATCCTCGTTCTTCCGGTGTCTAGGCCTTTCAACTGAGCTCCTTGGCGATTTATCTGATCGATGGTTATTTCCAAGTTGCGAACTGGGCAACATGGTTCGAGCCATCCATCCTACATGCATCGATGTCGGCAAATACAAACTGCAGGGTATGCAGAATTCTGAATAACAGACAAGGTTCGTATAGACCATTGACATCAAATATCTCAATACGAATAGCAGCCGCCTCTGTGTTGGGAGTCTCGATATCCGATATCAGAACAATAACAATGTCCGACCTGAGAGCGAGGCTTTGTTCTTCAGCATCCACAAAATCCACAAAACCAATCTATATGGTACGTGTAATAACCGAATAACGCAAGCAAACGGCACGGCCTGGGTCGACTCGTCATCATCTCTTGTCGTGCTCGTTCTCGTTGTCGGCAGCCCACCTCGGAGGTCTATTCAGCCCCTCCGTGTCATCGACATGACGAAATATGCCCTTCTTACTCTTCTCCCCCTCTTTCCCCCCTTTTTTTTCCCCTCTCCTTTTCTGATATTCTTCCGAATCTGCAAAATAATTACTCCACGGTCCTCCACGTTTTCACATTGACACGATGTACGCGTGTACTACGTACGAAGTATGCCCCGTAGTATCCCGGACCCGGAGCATGGTTGGCTCTCGACTCCTTTTCCTCATGCTTTCCGGAGGAGGAACGATGTCCGAAACCCTTGCGGTCCGTGAGCATGGTCCACACACGTGCAGGCTGCCGTATGGGCCAGGCCTTCGTTGGTCGTTATCTGGCTGGACTGTGTATTCTTCACTTCCCCCGTCTTTGACTGGTTGCCAGGCCTCTGGCCCCCATGTTAGGGCTTTTCTCTGACTAACTTCTTCAACAAGATCCTTACTCACAGAAGGGAGGTGAAGCTGGGACCAATCGAATCTGACTTGTAGGGCTGCTAGGTTTTTATATCCGTAAAGAGTCCCATCTATCATTTTGTCAGAGCCGCCAATGTTTAAAGTAATTCATCCTGACCTAAAAGACGTTGAGCTTTATGTTATGAAGTTTAAGCCACACTATGAACTGTTATATCTGCGATAAAGCTGACACTATATGCTTAGAAAGTCTATTAACATAGGACCCAGAGTTGTTAAATATGCTTTGTATGTTATAATATATAGTTAATGTTAGTTGTTCTGTCTGGTGAACTAAAGCACACTTTCTCCTTGCTTTATAGTTATTAGTATTCCCTACCTACCCGAGTTTGGCTGGTTATAGGTCAGAGCCCGATGGACTGGTCAGATGTCGCAAGTCTTAGAACATTATGTTGACAGCGATATCTCTGTCCTGGCTCTGGTCAGTGCAGAATTCTCTGTTCGAGCTCTGACCTATAACCCCCCCTAACCGGGTAGGTAGGTAGGTAGGTACCTCGACCTCCGGTACCCAATACAAGTAGTGATCGGTTATAGGGTTAACATTGGATAATTGCAAGATTTGCGACTTTCTCGGTGTCGACCCTCTTATCCGAGTCCTTTAAGACGACGAGGACCGGGACTTCTCAACCTACGTTCTTCGGCGTTGACCCAAATATCATATTCTCTTCCATATTCCATTCTCTCTAGACCGTTGTGGCCATGGTGTCGCTCACGGCATCACAGGGCCTAGCCATAGGCTTTGTCGGAGGCGCAGCGGCGACAGTTGTTCTCATTGCCCTCGCCGCCTTCGTTTTCCTACGCACAAGCGACATCTACGGCCTGGCGCATTGGAAGCTCAATATCCGGACACCACTTCCTTCTATGTGGATGAATGTGGGATACTGGTATTTCTTCCCCAATTTCCTCTTTTCTTCTCGTATTTTTATTTTATTTATCTTTTTCTAGACAAGAAATTAGAAAAAGATCCACACACAATTCCTGGAATGCTTACAAGATCATACAGGAAGAAGCAAGACGGCGAACGCATCATCCACTTCGACGAGGCAGCCGCCAACCTGCTCAAAGAAGTCGTGAGCACCGCAGGCCTCTTAGACCGCGACGCCGCCGCCCGCCGCTCCAAACGCAATGAAGCACTCGCTATCCTGGACCTTGGCTTCGGCTGCGGCGACCAAACCTGGGAACTCGCCCGCATGGTCCGGTCCGGAGGCTGGCACGACTTCCGCTACGTCGGCCTCACTCTAAACGAGGCCCAGGTGCAGACGGCCTCACGCAAGATCTGCCGCGAAATAGCTACCTTGGACACCCAACTCGAACACCCTGACGAGACCACCACGACCGCTACCCCCACCACCCCCACAACTTCGTCCGGCCTGACCCTCCGTGTCGACGCATTCCACCTCTTCCGCGCCGACGCCGCCCGCCCAACAACCTGGTCCCCTCGCGTCCGGGAAGCAGTCGACTCCCTATCCGACGACGAAAACGGAAACGACCGCACCACCACCTCCCGGTGGCTCCTCGCCCTCGACTGCCTGTACCACTTCTCGCCCTCGCGCGGCCCCGTCTTCGAATACGCCGCGCGCCGCCTCCACGCGAACCTCATGGCCTTCGACCTGCTCCTCAGCGAGACCGCCCCGGCCCGGGACGTCTGGGCCGCCCGCGCCGTCGGCGTCTTCATGGGCTGCCCGCTGCGCACGTTCGTCACCGAGGCCGAGTACCGCGACCAACTCGTCGCCTGCGGCTACGACGGGGAGTCGGCCACCATCCGGGACGTCACAGACGACGTGTTCGCCGGGTTGGTGGCTTTCCTGGACCGGCAGGAGCGGGCGTTGGGACAGTACGGTATTTCGTTGGGCGGGTTCAAGCTAGCTGCGAGATTGTTCCGCTGGTTTGCCGAGTCGAGGGTTGTTAGAGCCGTTATAGTCGTAGCTCATCCCAAGGAGAAATGAACGTAATATTGGCATCTTCCCCATGGTGACCACCTGGCGGCGTGCCTGGTACATCTTTTCCCAACCCCTTTAAACACATAAAGGTGCCCGTCTTATGAATAAATCGAAGTCTATGCGGCTAAGGCGAACTCTTATCCTCAGGCCGTGGTCCGTGCATGGCGGGGCATCCATCTTCACCACCTCCAGCGGGTGTCACTTTGTAACTCGTAAACATTCACTCCCGTCGGCAACGACAACAACACCATCCATCCCATCAAGATACCCATGCACCGACATACAAACTCGAATTGCCGATACCAAGTGCCTGGCCAACAACGGTAGAGGAAAGAAAGAAATAAACCCGCCCCCCAGAACAACCAAAACGAAACCAGAACGGACACGAAATGTCCAACCAAGCAAGCTACGCAGACTGCGTCTCCTCCCTCACCCACTCCCTAAGCTTCCTGACCTCCGCCGTGCAAACCCTCGAATCCGCAACCTCCGACCTCCCCCGCCTCGCCACCGTCCTCCAAACAACCCGCCACTACGAGCTCATCCCCTCCGCCCGCCTCGCCGCCGCCGAAGCCTCCCTCCGCGACGAGATCGGCCCCTCCATCGCCCTCCTCCTCGACCGCGCCGAGGCCCAGGTCGACCGCCGCGACCGCCGCATCGAAACCCTCAAGGCCAGGTCCGACCTGCTCGCCGGCCGTCTCGCCGCCGGGGACTCCGAATCAACAGCTACCGCCCATGGGTCCGGGTCCAGGTCTCGGCCCAAGTCGGCTGCTGCTGCGGGGGCGGGGGAGAGGCGGCATACCCTCGCGGGCGAGCGGGGGCTGAAGGCTCGTGCGGTGCGTAGTCGGAAGGAAGGGTTGAAGTATAGTGTGGAGAGGTTGGAGCTGGAGGTTTCGCAGAAGGAGAGGGAGTTGAGGAAGAGGCTCGAGAAGGCTTCGTGAAAACCGTCTTCCTCGCCTTGGGATTCTGCACCGATTGGAGGTCCTGGGACGGGATTTTCTTCGA